TATAATTAATTTGTTGGTCACATTAGAGTGGGGAACCATTCTCTTTGTGTGTTTCCTTAGTTTCTATATACCTGAATGATGTTTTATCAATCATTGTCAGTGTTACAGATATAGTTTCTTTCCATTTTGAGGTTCTATATAACCACAAGTTGGTATGGCAAGGTGAGGGAGTTTTTATGGCAGGATGAAGCAGTTGCCATGGCAGAGCGAGTCGATTGCTATGGCAGGGCGAGGGCTGAGTTGTCTTTCACCAGCTCTAATGGGACCTTCAGTCTTTTCCCTTTTCTCGGGGGCATTGCAACCTCTGCCTCATGTTTCTCTGACTTTTGGTTGATGGTGTAGGGGAAGGGATAGGTGATAAGCATATTTTCTGAATTAACAGGTTTTCCAAAGCTGACATAGGGGACCCTGTCCAAGGACTCAATAGCTCCCAATGCACCCCGCACCCCCAAGAAAAAAAAAGTTAAATAAAAGGGTACTTCCTGGTCATTCAGCCCAAGTTATTGATTATTTTTTTTTTTTTTTTCCAGTTTTATAATCTGTGGGTGAGTCTGATTGGTGGAGTGATGTGCTTAGCAGTAATGTTCCTGGTGGATTGGATCACTGCCCTCATCACGTTCCTTGTTATCATTGCACTCTATCTCTTCGTGTCTTACCGAAATCCAGGTTGGTTCTAATTTTTTGACTTGGTCACCGTGAGAATATTTTGGACTTGTACTGTAGTGAGAAGTGGGCGATGTAGTGAATAGATATAAGTACTGTATGTTCTTATGCTGATTAATATATTACACTGTTCATCATGTTAACAATAAATTTGACCATGGAAATATAGAACATACTGCTTAATGGTTAACACTCCATTTACCAATAGATTGTAAATAACTTGGATTATAAATTGGGTTTGGTTCCAGGGTATTACCTGTATATATTACACTAGAATTTACTTAATCACTAAAATTAAATGTCGTATTTGCTTTTTATCTTAACTGAGTCTACTGTACTGATTAGAAATATTAATCAGTCAGTTAAATGTGTTTTTAGGGTTGTCTAATAATTCTCTCAGATATTTTTAGTTTACAGGAATCAACTTTCGATTGTATTCTTCCATTCTAGTCTTTGCCTTCCACTGACCCTTCTACCTTCAATTTTACCAACTATTTATACCATTATCCCTTCATCTCTAAGTGTATGGCCAAGGGGGCATATACAGTTCTCCATTTCTCCAAAAAAAAAAAAAAAAACCTGCAAAACCAAGCACAGATTGGCATTCTGTGCTGTCACTTGGATTGCATTTAGCTATACAGTGACCCCTCGGTTAACGAACTCAATCCGTTCCAGAAGGTCGTTCGTTAACCGAAAAGTTCGTCAACCGAAACCATTGTTTCAATGGGTTTTTGGGTAATTGGTTCCAGCTCACCGAAAATTTCCTAAATTCAACAAAAATGGTAGAAAAGTTCACTTACTTTGAGGTGTGTTTGTAGAAGGCTCCTGGATGATGATGATGATGGGATTTAGAATGGGGGTGGAGGAGAAGGAAGAAGAGAAGGCATTGGGGTGGAAGAGAAGTCACCCCTTGGCGCCATTTCACCCATAAAATTTTAGCTCTCTTGGTGTAATTCAAGATTATTTTCTTTAAATCAACACTGCACTGCATTATATATTGTCAATATGTAAAATATATTTCAAAATGACCAATAATTTGCTTGGAAACACAGAAAAAAAGTGTTTAGTTGAAGAGAGTCTCAAGCAAGATGTTACCTCCAGTGAAAACAGAGAGAGACTAACGCCTGTTTGCTGTGTTAGGAGGCTGGATGCCGCGCATTAAACTAGTCACTTTACCTTCAATTATGTTCAATAATCGTTAAAATGACTAAAAAATTGAATATTAAACTTTTAAAATTATTGAATAGTATAAACTTCTTGATATTTACTAAAATAGTAAGGAATTTAAGCCCTAGAACCGATTAATGTATTGGCGGACTGATACTAAAGCTGGTTGCCCAGTCAGTGCAAGCGAAAACATGTTGAGGTCGGTTCGTAAGAAATTCGTTAACCGAATTTTTGTTCGTTAACCGAATTGAAGATCCTTATGGAAGGCAGTTCGTTAACCGAAATTTCGTTAACCGAGGCGTTCGTTAAACGAGGGGTCACTGTACTATAATTAAAAAAGATAATTGTCTCTCTGAAGTGACTGTAATTGAACTGATCTTCATTGAAATTCATCTGCTCAAATTGGCTTATACTGTTCCTCTACAATAAGATTTCTTCAAAACATTAACACACCACGGATTTTCCTCAACAGATGTCAATTGGGGATCATCAACTCAAGCACAGACATATATCTCGGCTCTTAAGACAACTCTGGACTTGAACACAGTTGAGGAACACGTCAAGAACTTTCGTCCACAGTTGTTGGTACTCACCGGGTCACCTGGTTCAAGGCCGCCTCTCCTCGACTTTGCTCAGAGTATCACCAAAAACATCTCTTTACTTGCTTGTGGACATGTTATGCAGGTATGCTATTACTGTTATTACAATTAAAAATAAATTAAAAGTAGGGTTAGTAGTACATTACTGGCAGATAGTGGTTGTATTTGTGTATTTCACTGAAGTTGGGAGAGCCATAAACTTGGTAATACTTTCAATTGCTTGATTTTATGACCTGCAGATTTTATGACCTGAGATCTAAACCACTTATTGCCCTCCAACAAACTTCACCTGCTGGGGAGGACATTGGCAATTTTTTTTTTTTTTTTTTTTTTTTTTTTTTTTTTTTTTTTTTTTTTTCTTATGCAAGCATCACTCTCACTTATATGATTCAGGGTTAAAAATTCAAGCTAATTTGATCCAATTGTTGTCTGAAGGTCCAGTGAGGCATTAGGTCAGGGGGACAATGCCTTCCTGGTAGACATGTGTTACTGGGGTAGAAGTAGGGGAGCATGATAACAAGGGAAAAATGCAACTCTAAATAATTGTAGTAAGTATAAGAATATGTTGTAGAACACCAAGTGTGACTCTTAAGTTTAATATTATTTTTGCATTGTGTTTTACACTTTCTTTTGTTTCTCCACTGTAGGGCCCCCAGTCCCAACGAGTACGTAATTCACTTAGCAGACAAGCATACAGCTGGCTTCACCGCCACAAGATACGTGCATTCTACTCTCTTGTTGAAGGAAACAGCTTGGAAGAAGGAGCTAGGAATTTGTTCCAGGTAATTTTTCGTAGTACAGTACTGTAACTAGTAAATTTAACTTGGACAAAATTAATTGTATGGAATTAATATGAATATTACAGTAAAGTTCAGTGGTAAGGAAACCTACGTACAGTATTTTGAATAACTTTGTTAATTTTTTTTATTATTTGTTTCAAACATTTAATACAAGGAATATTAAGAAATTTGTTCGATAGTCATGTCTGAGTTTATGACTTGTGTATTTACCCACTCAGTCTGCTAGTGGACAACCCAGAGAAATCCTTGACACTGGCAGTTGGGACTACTCTATTGATTAAATATATATCCTATTTGAAACCATAGCTCTTAAAAAGGAATACTGTATTTGAAAACGAGACAGATACACATTGAAACATTGTCATTTCAGGTTCAACTATCAGTTCCACCAACAGTTGTAACGGGAGCTAACACCTTCTTGCTTATTATTAGATTGGGTAAATACACAAGTCACCTGCTCCAGGTTCAGACATGGAATAGGATTTCAAGATAATTCCTACATTTCTCTGTGTATGTTTGTTTATTAATTTATATGTTTTCCAGCTTGTGGGATTAGGCAAACTGCGTCCCAATACCGTTTTACTTGGATACAAAGCCAACTGGCGGAAGTGTGATCGGCAAGAGCTCAAAGCCTACTTTAACACACTACAGTAAGTTTCAAAAGTCAAGTCACTGGGTTTGGTTTGTACTGGCAGAAGACCCATCCTTTGGATAGTACCGGTACTTATTGATTTCTCTTACTGGCCCCCGTGCTGTGCTTTGTGATCACCAAGACACTCCCTGGTGCTACAACTGAATGATGATGTTATATAAGTCTTGTGTGCTTTAGGTAATTGGTGGATCTTTATGCGATTGACAGACATACAGACAACTTTGCTTTAGAGGTACAGATGCATCCACAGGTGTTTGATTGATCCTCCTACACTACACTACGCTTATTTCCATGATATTACTGGTAAAACCTCCATAATTTGTCGTAATTCTGCTCTTTTTCATAAATTCCTAACCTCACAGTGTGCATTAGCCGAAGTCCCATAAAATGAATAACTAATTTAATGTAAATGAAATATGTATACATGTAACGGCCCCTGTCTCATCAACAGAACATATCATATAAATGGGTCAATACATCTGATATTATATTCAGATTCACCACCCTGTAAATTTCCACTGGCTATGAGGTGACATGTTCAATGCACGTGATAAGGTGTGCCCCACGGGAAGCTGCGTCATACTATGCTGAGTAAAGGAGGCATAAGTAGCCGGCTCTCTGGCCACCTGAAGCGAGCAGTAGTTTGATATCCTTGACTAGAGGAAGACGTTATTTGAGAGCCGCAGTGGTTGGCTCCGTCTTCCCTCGAGGGGGAACAACGGACCCATACCGTTCTCCTTCGATGGGTCACTACTCATCAGTCACTCAGATTAACTAATATCGAACGGACGTGATCTACGTTTTTATTTACAGCTAGACCCCGACTTATGACGGGGTTGGGGACCCAAATCCAGGTCTTAAGTCCGACAGATAATTTTTTTTTTTTTTTTTTTTTTTAATAAAAAATCTACAATGAAATACAGTACAGTAAAAGTAATAAATAATGAGGAATGGATACAGTACAGTGAAAGTAATAAATAATGAGGAATAAATACAGTGTGACTGAGCACTTACCTTTAATGTAGTCAGCTGAATGCACATGGGGCCCCCATAATTTTCTAATTATACATGGAGACTACATTAACTGGAAACGTTTCGGTATAGAAAATGCGTGCTTCAATTGAAGAAGAAGAAAAAAAAAATTGAAAAAAAAAATGGTCACAACTGCGGCGGTCGTAAGTCGGGGTCTAGCTGTATAGTGGAACTTATGGTTGATCAACACTCAGGAATTATAGACAATCCTTTTATAATAAAACAAGGAACGTCAATTAGGTTTCGTTACTAAAACCCCAATATCTAATATATGTGAACAACCCGGTTAATTGGGGGATTAACAGACGGATTCATGCATTCCACAACCTATAAATCTACTGCTTCACTGATTTCTACCACTAGTTCATGTCACTCAAATAAAAAACACCTAAAAAACAAAATAATAATAATAGAATAACAACGAAATACAACATATCAAATAAGAGACTTAACCCATTCACTATGGGGACGCCACTTTTAATATTTTATTTGCCTAACGCTAGACGATTTTATTCAGCTCTGATGCGACACCTTACACAGGGTTAAATTTAGCGGTGGTACCCAGAGATTGTACTCTACTGGCAGATGTATGACAGTGTGATCCCGAAGCTTAATTAGATCATCAACAAGGGCAAATATAAAAGTACCTGTTCTCTATAATAATCAGAAAGTCTTTTTACAAGCATTTCCATGTAAAATCATGGTTAGGTTACTGGATTTGGGGTTTTGTACTGTACATTATTATTATTACTGCATTATTTTTATTATTTTTGTTTTTATTATTTTATTTATGTTACATGTATTATTATTATTACCGTATTTTACTTGTTAAACATTGAAGTATGTGAGAGAAAATGGACATTCCTCTCTCTCTCTATACAGTGAGGCCTTGGACATGTACTTTGGAATCGCCATACTGCGAGTACCACAGGGTCTGGACTACTCACAGATCGTAGAGGATGAAGACACTCCTGTGATGATGAATGGCAATGACACCAGCCTTGCTCGTGTTGTAGAGGAGAAGCCAGGTCAATCTGCAGCAAACCAACTAACTCATGGTAAGTTCCGTGATATGATGAACCGTGGGAGAGAAAGATACTAAGCCGATAAAAATTATTAAGACATAAAGAAAGAAAGAGGTGGCAGGTATTTTATATATGAAAAATACAGATGTTTTAAGTAAGAAAGAAAGATAGAAGGCAGAGGGGTATTTATATTTAGAAAATGGAAATGTTGATAAGTATTCAATGAGTGATATCATTTAGTAATGATTATAGTTTACAAAAGGTTTATATGCCATCGGGAATTATTTATTCATTATACTGCTCGTCCTATTACTGGTCGAAATTACCCACTGCCTAAATATTACTTGGTTAATGTTAATACTTATGATGAATTGTTTGAGTAATAACTTGTACTATTACTGTATTTGTTTTTATTGGGGGCCCACACATGTTAGTCAGCCCAGAGTAAACTACAATACTTTCCAGAACCATTAAGTTTCAGTCACTGGTTTTCCCTCTTTTCTCAAGATGTGTAAATATATAAAGCTGTACATTGCAGTGTTTTGCTATAATATATTCATAATGTTTTTGATTCCTTCCTCTCCTACAATGCCATCTGCCTAGAAGTGGCAAAATTGCTTGGTGCTCTAAACTCTAACACACGGAGTACCTATTATCGGGGTGAGTCAGTGGTTGAAAATTTGCACATGTGCATGAGTTGTGCTGCACTGCTTTTGTGTTGAGATGATACACTTTTTTCCTATAAGAGTGAATGTATATACATTTTGATATTTGTGTGTTCTTTATGACAAATATTCAAGAACCAAGATACAACATTTGGTGTAATTCTCCTTACATGACTGTGTGTGTGTGTGTGTGCATTATTTATTTTGTGTGCTTATACTTGTATCCTATGACCCAAGGATCAACAAAATAATTGGCTTGTGAGATACTCTCACTGAATCACCTCTTATGGAAGCCTGCTCATCTTTTCCTCATGGCTATCAGATAGGATTTACTGCTTCAATCTTCCCATTTTTGTAAAATTTCATTTCTATGCATGAATATTCTCAGGTAGTTAATGAAATCATTGCATTTCCCCCAGTGCTAGTTCAGTATGATCTTGGGATAATTTAGATGTTTTAAGCATACATTTGATGCTTTTTTTTTTAGTGATCCCTTAACCCAGGTGACTCATGTCATATGGGCAACTTACTTGGGACTTTCCTTCATCAACCCCCTCATTAGGTCAGACAGGGTTGATCTGTCGGTCCACTCCAGTTGTATCTATCACCATGCCTTCCCCATCAAACAATTAGTCTTAGATCAGGGATATTTGGTGCAACAGTTGCCATCTGGAGCAGGTCATAATTATAGATTCAAGCCTTCGCAGTGAGCGCGCACACATTATACTGAAGCTTCTGTCGGCCATCTTGATTCCAATCTAATTCATCTTTTGAATTCAGTCCCTTGCAGACAGGCTCTTCAGACTGACTCTCCTGCTCTGCTGATATTATACAAATGCTAGGTGTTGTTGAGGCCCTTTATAACATAGAGATCTGTTCTAGGTGTTAAATAGGGTAAGATGGATATTTTGTCTTGCATAAATAATTTTATAAAGTTTGGTGACATGTTACCAACCCTTTACAGTTTGGGTTAGTTTGCTACAAGTGGATAATCTTATTCTTTGGATATTCTAGGGTAACTTTGAATCTCTGGTCATTTAATTTGTATACATATGTTTCAGGTTTAGTGAGGGTCTTTTGGAGGGGTTCATTTGTTTTGGGAGTGAACTCTCTTGGATCCTTATTCTGCTGTTAAAAGTTGCACCCTTTCTTCTTGATATATGTATAGTACTTGGTTAATTTATTAGAGAGGATTTCAACCAACTCATGTCTGGCAGGATGTATCTTTGGACTCTGGACCCTGATGGCTTATTTTTTCCTTGATTTTCCAGGATAATGCTAAACGTCTTGTGATACAGGAGAGTTAGAGAGTCCTTTATCTTTTTGGTTGCATATCTGTATTTCTTGGAGGTTCCTTAGTGGAACCAGTAGTAAGGCAGCTGGGGTACCTTTCCTCCTCCCTCTGGTCCTTTATTAGTCAACTGAAATTGAATTTGTTAATGGATGACTTGGAATATACTGTAGATGGACTGTCGCTTGGGTGTGATGTGTGAGCTAATTAGGCAGGCATGGCTCTAGCATGATTTCCTGCCTTCAGAGCGTAACTGTTGGACCAAATTCCCCTCATTTGAGGAGGATGGTGTGATTGTACGAGAAGAGTAATCCCCGTAAGTACATACAGCCTTGGCCGACATAATCGGGTTTGTCTGAAGATATGGAACAGCTCAGTAAGAAGCCAGAATTATGAGAGTCACCTGGCCACACGCTCTGCTAGAAATAAGGTTTTAGAATCAATCCTTCATTTTGCTTCAATTTTATTTTAACGGTAATTCAGTTTTTTAGTTTAATACCATTACTGAAGAATGTCCTCTGTGTCAGATTGATCTTGATAGACAGAATTTATTTTTAGTTCTGGTTTGATTTGTATTTTTTCTGTGTACTTTTGCTTGTTATTTAAATGCAGTAATGAATTATTAATTTGACACCACAACCGTGATACCAGGGTAAGTCTTGGACTATGGTCGTGATGTTGTACTTTAGATGTCCGTCTTGCCTACTGTGTGTATTTGAAAATATTAATGATTAATTAAAATAATCGTTCATTTGTCGTAATGAATATGGTATTACTTTGAAAAATTTTATTTAATTTTTTTGACCCCAAAATAATAACTATGATCTTGTTCCACCTTTCATGCCTACACAGTCTTTAGGAGGAAGAAAATACGTCAGACTGGTCGAGGTATTTGGAAAGTATTAAAAGTTTGTCTTCTCTCAAAAAGCAATAGTAGGTGGTATCCTGCACATTGGCTCTCCAGTATTACTCTTCCTAGTTGATGTGACCACAAGTCTTTTTATTTTATTTTATATTATATTATTTTATTTTGCTTGTTCCTTCCTAATACATTAAAACAAATAGCAGTTGAGGGTTATTCTTTTTCCCTTTTTTTTTGTTTTTGTATTTTTCGTTACTGTATCATTTGTAGATGTTCAGATGCAAGTGGGTTACTAATAGAGTTTTGCTATTAGAAGTACTGTTGACTAGAAGATATATTACAGCAATATAAATCTCCTTGATTACTAGATTGTGTAGTGAGACGTAGATATACAGTACATAGAGAGAGCATGATTGATTTGGTTTGGGCAAAAGAGTCTGTGGCAGCTAATACACATGATTGATCAGTGAGAGAGGTAGTAGGTGATTTGTTGTTTGGTTGTGTTTTGTTGGTTTGTGTTTGGTAATGCAATAGACTCACAAACAAGAACTTGGAGGAAAAAACAACAATAAATAAAAAAAAAATTGTAGCTGGGAATGAAAGTATAACACTATATATGTTCCTCTGTTGGGCAGATCATTGCAGCAGATGGTCTAGAAGAGCAGAATCCCAGTATAATGAAGCTTTTACCTTGTCATTATACCCTTGCCTCCTTCCCAATACATATTAAAACAAGTCTTGCATATACAGCACAGACTTACAACTGGAATGGTTAAGAAATGGTAGAGAATCTGGCTTGGGTAACAAAAGCATGTTGAGAGGATATAAGTGATGATTATGAATACTGTATTTGAGAAAATTGAATAGAGATAGGCATACTGAGGACTAGAACTATGATTAAAAGTATGAGAAGATTTACAAGTGCGCTGAGTGTAGATTAGTGTGAGGATGTGGTTTGACATGCATAGAGGTGATGCGATGTGAAACACCCATTTGTGAACAAAAATTTTACATCCAGATAAACAACGAGAAATTTGAAAAAAGAAGTTCTGCTAGACATATGCCAGTGATAGGATTTTTGTTTGTTTATCTGAGAAATTATTTAGTGATAAGATAGAAGTTGTAGAATGTGATAGAGATAGATGTTTAAGGACCAAAAAGATGTAAAGTTTTTTATATGTTAATTTTAATGACAACGAGTAGATGTTGATACTAAAAAAAAAAAACAGGAAATGTTTATCAATTTTGGTGTATATGTTTTTAAGTAATGTAATCGAGGTTTTATTTTTGTTGATTGTTGTTTCGTCTCAAGGAATTGTTTTGTACCTTCCTTATAATGCTTGCAGATGGTGCTGACAGTGAGGCATCCAGTCCACCAGGCTCACCACAAGTTGAACGAGCAGCAGTAGTGAACGAGGAAGCTGCTAGAGATAAGCAGAAGCATCGCCTCTCTATTGCCAATTTGTACAGAGGTGCAGGAGGGGTTGAATTGAGCAAAGATGTGCTAAATAATATTACTATGTTCAAGCGGAAACAGAAAAAGGTAATTGCCGTGTAATAACAACACTGTAATAATCGATTTGCTCTGTGCTTATTAACACAGTCAACATTGTTTTTCCCTTTTCTGAATCAACACCGTTCATCCCCTAAAAGGCTTTCCTATTGCACTTAATAGGCTTATTCTTATAAAAAAATTTGTACTGGGAACTCTATTCGCTCTATGCCATTCTTCAGTTCTTCTGCCCTCAGTCAAAAATAAGCTATGTACACTTGTCATCCAGTCCATCAATTTACCACCTCTCATCCTCAACACACCCACAGTGGCTTCATCCATTCTTGTGTAATACCATTAGCTTCATTTCTTACAGCCTGTCTTAAATTCTCACTCTTATTTTTTTTCCTCTGTTACTGTCATAGTTTTCATTCCATCACATTCTCTCTCATATGTTGCATTTAACTAGTATTCAAAGCATTCACTCCTCTCCCTTGAACTTCCATTATCGTTTCAATTTGTTTTTTTCAAATACATGTGACAACCTTTTTTCCACAATTTTTATTTTTGTCTTTTACATTTTTTCACCACTTGTTGCTCTCCACAAATGGCAGCCTTCAGTGGTGGAAGTTAGTTGTAGGCATGGCAGCCATCATCTGTGCAAGTTTCATGTTTTCAATGATCTATTTGATTTACCGTACAGGTTCATGAATAACTAATAGATGTCCTTAACACTGCTCCCCAATACTTCCACGAGGCTTTCCTGTGCCCCAGTATTAGTATAGCCTTAGTGACTATGATATATATTGTATTATACAGTACATGCAGTTTGGTATAGAATTAATCATAATTTTTACTTCAGAGTACAGTTGATGTATGGTGGTTATATGATGATGGTGGCCTGACTCTGCTGGTGCCTTATATCCTTACCACAAGGTCACAATGGGCTGGATGCAAGTTACGTGTCTTCGCTCTGGCCAACCGCAAGGATGAACTTGATATGGAACAGAGAAGGTAAAGTTTTCAGTTAATAATGTCCTCCCATTGTTTTTAATTTCCATTTTGTAAGTACAGGTACGGTATATCTTAAATAAAATTATTTGGAGCGATTTCTCAATTAGTCATTAAAAATTTATGATGCCAGGTTCTTAAGAACAACATGATGCTTTACAACATTGTTCAGCCTTTCCTTTCACGAATGATAAACAAGTGAGTGCAACTACAATGGGCTTGCCAAGTTGCTTAAAAAATAATAATAATTTCTGCTTTATATTGTGGTCAAATATCTTTGTTATGCAGAACATTATAGAGAAGAATTGGAATAAAACCTCCATAAACTTCAACATAACACTCGGATGGGGTGAATTGTCTAGGGTAGAAAATGGTGTTGGTGGGTTACATCAATGACTTTTATAAATGGACCTTTAGGAAAATTTGGGCTCCTGTCTTTGGTTGATACCGTAAGTTTGTCTCCAGACTGGTGTAGATTGAATGTATCTACAGTTAAGAGAGGCTGTGCACTGCCCACCTCACCCTGGTTGGCCCATAGCATATTGAAAATGTCCATTATGGCACAACACGAAGCAGAGACAATTACCACCACATGGGCTGAGGACTGAGCAAGCCAACAGTTGGGTGGGACTAATACAAGGAAACCTCCATATAATGAACTTGTCTCTCCATATAATGAACTTCTCTCTACATATAATGAACTTGTCTCTCCATATAATGAACTTGTCTCTCCATATAATGAACTTCTCTCTCCATATAATGAACTTGTCTCTCCATATAATGAACTTGTCTCTCCATATAATGAACTTCTCCATATAATGAACTTGCCTCTCCATATAATGAACTTCTCTCTCCATATAATGAACTTCTCTCTCCGTATAATGAACTTCTCTCTCTGTATAATGAATTTCTCTCCTTATAATTAACTTCTCTCTCCGTATAATGAACTTCTCTCTCCGTATAATGAACTTCTCTCGCCGTATAATGAACTTCCCTCTCCGTATAATGAACTTCTCTCTCCATATAATGAACTTCTCTCTCCGTATAATGAACTTCTCTCTCCGTATAATGAACTTCTCTCTCCGTATAATGAACTTCTCTCTCCGTATAATGGACTTCTCACTCCATATAATGAACTTCTCTCTCCGTATAATGAACTTCTCTCTCCGTATAATGAACTTCTCTCGCCGTATAATGAACTTCTCTCTCCGTATAATGAACTTCTCTCTCCGTATAATGAACTTCTCTCGCCGTATAATGAACTTCTCTCTCCGTATAATGAACTTCTCTCTCCATATAATGAACTTCTCTCTCCGTATAATCCATTAGATGGGGATTTCACATTTAAAGGACCCTCGATATAGCAGACTTTTATATCTATATCGTTTGTTAGATGGAAGTTTCACATCTAACAGACCCTTGATGTAATGAAATTTGCTCTCCATACAGGCCGTTAAATGGAGGTTTCACTGTAACGGGTTTGTGAGAATAAGCCAGGTGTGTGTGTGTGTGGTGGGGGAGTGTGTGAGTGGTTTTATGCTGTCAGGTTGAGATTTTTTGTGTGGTTTTGGTTGTGTACAGTATAGTACCTGTATTTGGGTGTGTGAGTGAGAAGTGTGGGACAACTCCAGGTGTGGTAATGGGGAGGTCATGGCAGTGTGATCTATTTTTGCATGTTCATAGATTTTTTTCCTTCTTATTTTTATTAACATTTTGTGACAATTGGGGCACATGTTTTACTAACAAATTCCCATATTTTTTCATTAATATGGATTTTTTTTTTTATTTCAGTATGGCTAATTTGTTGTCCAAGTTCCGTATAGACTACAGTGATGTGATAGTAATCCCAGACGTTGCCAAAAAAGCTGCTGAGTCATCACGTATGGAATTTGATCAGCTGATTGAGGATTTCAAAGCCAAGACCGATGAGGAAATTAGCAAAGAGAATGAAGGTAAAAAAAAAATCGTGTAATTTTGCAGACTTGGTTCCAAGTCACCTGTAAGAACACACCCATTAAACACTCTGAGCCCTTTAGAGAAAGCATAATACCTGTAGTTTATTGAACGGTCTCACATTCTAGTCAGACAAGGTTGCTGTAAGTGGCTCGTCTCACCCATTTGATACCAGATTTTATGATTCCATGGTTGATTTGAAGCCCACTGATGATTCAGGGTTATGGGTCAACATTGTTTCATTCGCTGTCGCCTGTTTTAGACGCACTTCATCCATAAGAAAGTTAATCTTTTACAAATCTGTTACCAGCCAAATTTTCACCTGACATCAATGCTTACTCCTAATTGGTTCATCTAGGAGCTGATGACTTCTTCTTTTGGGAACACTGTGTAAGTATTGATAGGACACATACATTTATTAATGGTATTCTTTGATCTGAAATCCTGTCTTGAGTTGTTATCCCAATTACCTGAGAGGTGTTATGATTTAAGGTTTATGGTGTTCATTAGCCAAATGAATTCCTGATGGCAGTCAGTCCACATGAGCTGTTGGCTTTTGAATCAGATTAATTATAAATTGATCAAGTTCACTAAGGTTACAGGGATCTGGGAATGAAGTGAACCTTCATAGAGTTTTTAACTTCTGACCTGAAGCCTTGGTAGTTATAGAGGCAATAGCAACTCCCGTTTGAATCTGAATGGTCTGAGAAAGTTGCTTGCATCAGACATTTTGTACAAAAGGATAATGTGTTCCTCCTGCTAAGTATTGTATAATATCCCAGTCACTGACAGGATCTGCCTAGGGTTCTTAGTGGGACCTAAAATGCATCCTTTTAGCTTTTTGTAATATTTTCTTTTATTTGCTTACACTTGGAGTATTACCATAGAAATTCTTATATATTTACTCAATTATTATTATTTTTTTCTCTAGGTATCCTAATTAGTGAAGCAGAGCTCCTTGGTCAGCGTGAAAAGACGAATCGTCATGTTCGTTTGCGTGAGCTACTCCTAGAAAACTCGAGAAATTCTTCTTTAGTGGTTATGTAAGTACAGTACTGGTATAGCCTATAATATATAGGTATTGTACATGATGTAGAATTAGATATTACTAAGCATTAATGTAAATAGCGTGATCTCTGTTTGACACACAAGTCATCAAGTGTTCAGCAAGCTAGAATCTCAAAAGTCCCAAATCAGCCTTCAGCCATAAGGTGGGACTTCTGGTACAGCACACTCAAGACTGCTTTTTGTCTATTCTCGGTATTTCTGATGTACCAATTGCAGACAAAAAAGAATATGCTCATTGTTTATGTTGTACTGTTTATTCTCATATTCCACCTTTTGTGTTTTACAGGACTCTACCAATGCCCCGCAAGTCTTCGGTATCTGCCCCATTGTACATGGCTTGGTTGGAGACTTTAACTCGTGACATGCCTCCATTCATCTTGATTCGTGGCAATCAAACCTCAGTCCTTACCTTCTACTCATAAAACATTTGCTCCAATTCATCCCCTGAGAAGTTCTCTAATGGTTTTAATAGTTGACCATTCATACAAGGTATTAATGAATATTTTTATTGAAGAATTGTCAGTTACAGGTTAATATGATGTGTAAATGCTCATCAATTGTATGCCAAATCCTTATAATTTTAAGTACTACAGGCATCCCCAGGTAACAGAATTTTGCCCTTACAGAATTAACAAATTTAGACATCAATTTCGGGCTGCAGAAAGAAAAAAGACGTTTTTATCTAAAAACCAGTTTTTGTGATATAGCTCGAATGTGACGATCAGCAATGCTACCTAGGTATGTTAATTCCTAGCCAATTCGCCAGGCCAACATACAGGCAATTAAAACGTCTAATAATTACTTAATAAGTAATATTAGGAGGACACGTCAATAGTAAAAAAAAAAATTGTGTGACTGCATCTGTGGTGGCCACAAGGTGGTTGGAAGGCTGCTCACCTACCCAGTTGTCGGCAATCACCACAACAATGGAGCTGCTCAGTTAGAATTCTTTCCCTAGCTTGTGTTCAGTTATGCGTCTGTGTTTAGGACTTAATTATAGTAAAAGAAAAATTGTGTGACTGCATTTGTGGTGGCCCCAAGGTGGTTGGAAGGCTGCTCACCTCCCCAGTTGTCGGCAATCACCACAACAATGGAGCTGCTCAGTTAGAATTCTTTCCATAGCTTGTGTTCAGTTATGCATCTGTGTTTAGGACTTAATTTGCCCTTACGGAATTATAAAAAAAATTTAGTGTGGATTTTGGCTCGGCTCTCCTCCCTCTCCGTAACCTGGGGGTGTCTGTAAACAACACTGGAACAGTTAGAAAGAACTTATAAGTTAAGTAGTTACTGGAAATGGTATGAGTGATAACATATATCCTCTGAGGTGATGTAAGTATTAGTTTAATTGGTATTGTTAGCTGTTGAATGCTAACGTGTGTTTAAGAATGAAAATCTCCATCACATTACTCATTATTCACTGGTCATAAACCACTGTCAGACCACCATTATATTGTTACCTATTAACTTTATATATACTGTATGTGGGTGTATCATATGCATCAAGACTTGTCATATGCAACTGCAGTAACATCATTCATGCCCAAGTCCAAGTGCACCTGTAGTACAGATAGTTTATCTGGAAATAGGGTTTCATCTACTTCATCCTTTCATACACTGAGAGCACCTTACACACATGAGGCAGGGTCCGAGGATACACAGTAACCCACTTTAAAAATCCTTTCAGGGTTTAATTATGTTTGGTGATGAATGTGGTATGTCCCCCAACTTATTTCTCAAAATGGGAGCAATTGTGGTTGATTTAATGGGCCTAAGTTTTTCTTATCACTTTCCATACTTGTTCCTGCAGGGAGGTCAGACTCAAGAGTAAACACACACTTTCCTTTCATTAGCTGTCATTCTTTCATTCATTCTTGCTGCTGCAGTGGATGTGTTCAACTATAATATTCCCCTTCCACAGCACAGCACTAACTACCTGGTTTATGTCACTTTAGAAAATAGCTAGACATATACCACATAGTGGATTGGAGATGTACTGTATTGACTAAAGTTTATGTTCAAACATAATTAGTTGATACAGATTGTCAGGAAATGTGATTGCTGTACTTTTTACTTTTTAAATTTTAAGATTTTTTTTTTTAAATTAGATATTTTAGCAACTGAAAAACTACAAACTGTAATTTTATTTCGGTTCAAGTGATGGAAAAATGATAGGTACAAATATCTTAAATGGTACAAATTTCTTAAATGTGTATTTTAAAGTTTACAAAAACAGTGGTCCAAATACTGACAAAATAAAATGGACACGAGTTTTTATAAAACTAACGCAGGTGTGCATATAATACTTACAGTTAATGTGTACAGTATGTGCATGCCTGTGTGTATGAACACACCTGTGTCCTTCCCCCTCCAAGCCCTAGGCCAGATCCCAACCCGTAGAATGGGTATTGTCCACTCAGCTAGGATTTTCATCACCAGAGACATGACTGTGTAACTGCCTTTACTTTATGATAGATTCAGTTTATTGAGAGGAAGGTTATTACCAATGGAAAATAACACATCTCCTGTCATGTCTTGGACACCTCTTGACAGGCTAGGATGTCTACACTTATTACACACCACCAGAGATACAGTACTGTACAAGATAAAGGATAGAAGTATTAGAAAATAAATTTATTAATAACCAAGAATATGCACAATAAGCGTGATAAACCGCACACCCACGCCACATACTTGTCGTAGCCTTCCATTTTTTATACGTAGAAATTTAGTTAAACTCCAACACTTCTTTTTACCCCCGGCGGCTAGAGAAAGATACAAAGTTTTACCCAAGTTTGGCTGAGACTCTGCCCATAAGTTCCTGTTCCTGGAGCCACACTTTTTAGATTTAAAAAAAAAATTCTAATACAATTTGTTTCCGCAACTGATCAGGGCGTTGGTTTATCGATCATCTCATCGGGCCAAAATCACTCGGAAGTTCTTAACAATAGTTAGATATAGTTATATGCAAAGTTTATCGACGGGTAGAAGAGAAATTGTCACAAATTATTTCAATGTGATGGGCACTTTTGACTTCATGTATAATTATCATAAATTTACGAGGAATAATACGGATACTGTACTTCAACTACAGGTACAATCATCGGTTTCAGAAGTAGAATATACCTGCCATGTCAAATACCCTTGCATTTGACTATATTCAGCGTGCATATATAGTATTTATGATGTTTAAATCTTCCTTATATGTTAATTTTCGTTGTTTAATGCATAATTTCCATTCCATCTGAAGTGTGATGGCAGCCAGTAGATGCATTTACAATATGACTACAGGAGCATAGACTGATGATTTTGTGTTAGTATTCTTTAGTACTACTGTATTGGGTCTATATATTTTCATACATTTTCCTTGTACTATTCCTTATCATTCCATATAATGAATAAGTAATGCATTTCCAAGAATGTGAACATTATAGATTTATCACATATACTTAAGGAAAATTCATGTATAGTGCTTGTAGTTGCAGACAAATATAAGAATGGCTGTAGGCTAACCAAGGGAACATGGGATTTTTTTTAATGGTTTTCAGATTTAGAGAATTGATCATATCTTAGATTTCATTTGTAACGAATAATGTACTCACGGATGTACTGCCCAAGTAATTTACCGTGGAAAGATTTTTAGCCCTGTTGTGTGTCGTAACTAACAACACATACTTTCTCCAACTTTTTTCCTTTTGAACTATATATCATTGATTTGGTATGTGAGCAGTTTCTAGTTCTCTCATTAAAACAAAAGTCATGACAATTTAATGTTATCTTCAGATTTAAGAATAATCGTATACATTCCAGGGTAATTTTTGTTGATGCTGATGGCTGAGGTTATTGTATATTGAAATGTCAAATATATGTAAAACTTCTCTTTAGATTATAAAAATAAATGACAAAACGGAATTTGTATATATTTCTGATATGCGAGAGATGCCACGATGTTTTGATCTTTAGTAACAAAGATTTCAACAGCTGTAAATACTACTGATTACTGAAGCTTATTACTCAGCAGATTTTGATTTAAAACATATTTTAATGTTCATGCTTATACTGTAGACCTGGTGCCTTTATTGCTGTGATTCATGGTCAGGGAAGACATAACTCCGTGTTTATTGGACTGTTATATTTTTACATTGGACATGTTATTATATATCCTGCTCCTTAAAGAATGATTCTCTATCCCAATGTTTTAAAATACTTAACAATTAAAGAATCCATATAGTACAGGCTGTAAGTGTCTACCAAACTGAGCCTTTTCCAAAAGTTCAGAGAGGTTGTTAATACATATTCAGTGAAAAAGAGAAAATACATAGAAGTAATTGTTGATAATATATTATCCAGAGTTTGATTTAGTTAGCCTTCTTGTAATGTTTAGTTGGGTCTTAAGAACAAAAGGCATGAGATCACCATTTTTTATTTAATCAAGCAAGGGTCAATGTTTAGTATGTTCATACAGTTCTGCTGGAATATAAATATTATGTTAATTATACTTTTATCTGTTATATCAGCACAAATAGACATGTATGCTCAAATTTTGTTTAAGAGCATAATTTCTGGAATGAGTTTTTAACAATAAACTCCAAAAGATTCCTAGTATTTGCATTTGATGGGTGTGAATTGTTAGCTTCAACTAACATCAAATAAATTTTATTTTTAAGAGAAGCGTTTTCTTTATTTAATATAAGCACCTAATATTTGGATTATCTCGCATTACTTCCTACCATGGTGAAAAAAGTCAAATAAGACGGTAGAAATATACATGCAAAAGTGAGGGTATATATTCCCCGATTTATGATCTCCCTATCTACAATATTATGATTTAATGTATATTAAAACCATCCCCCTATTTACAATGTAAACAATCGCCATGAACACCTGCTCACCACCACCCGGTGCACTAAAGTACCAAGCTTTGTTCCATGGAATCACACATGGCTATGATTGTGTACTGTAGCTCACTGATTAATTATCAAGTGTTGTTACTTAACTTTTATTTACTTTTTATTGGTGCCAGCACTTTGGCACCTCAGCTACCCTGAGAGATTAGAGCGCCTGCCTTTGTCTAGCCTAATTGAGGTGTATAAACATCTCAAAGGGCACTACTCGGACGAGTGCCCTTACCTTGAGCTGGCGGACGCTCGCCCCACAAGCGGTCACAGCTCAAGGTTGAAGAAGCCGCACGTCCAGAAAACTGAGGGGTAAATATTTCGGAGTGAGAGTTGTGAACTCTTGGAACAATCTGCCAGAGTGTGTTGTGACGGCACCGAGTGTGAGCTCTTTCAAGACCAGACTTGACCAACACTGGAGCAGGTTCAGATACATTCAGGAGCCAGTACTTGCCAACAGTGCATGACAGATTGCCCAAGCAGCTAGCGAGCCGACCAGTGAAGAGGATAAAAGTAAAAGTAACTAACATTAGTTTGCAGAAAGAGGGTGTAACTCTAAGCACCACTGTGAAGTTCTACAAATCCCTCAAGCATTTTGTTCAAGAACAGAGATTCAAGTTAGAAGAGTATGAAGCAAGAGGAAAGACAATGTGTAGTGAAAGAGAATGCAGAGTATATATTGGAAAGCTGAGGCAACAAAGATTTGCAGATGGAACATCAGAAAGTAATCCCAGATTACCGAGGGAGAAATTCGGGCAACAGTTCTTCCTCATTGTGGACAACCTTGTTCGTGCTTTTCAAATGAGGTCACAGGCTTATGAATAGCTGTACAAGAAGTTTGTTTTTTATCAGATTTAGCTATCTTCCAAGTGCTGATATAAGCTAAGCAACAATCAATTTGGTGGAAGCTTATCCTGAAGACGTCAAAGAGTCACTCAATACAGATATTTGCAATGATGAATTTGACAAATCCTAACCAAGAGCTGTTCAGGTTCACTTTCATTCAACCTTTAGCAGATACCATCGTTAATGTGAACATTGTCTGTACTCAAAATATATCTTTGCACAGTGCACAAATTGTGCAGGTGAAAGGTCATTCTGAAAACTGAAATGAATAAAAAATTACCTGTGAAACTCTAACTGCCAAGATAGACTGAACAAGTTGAGTCACTTGTCGATTGAACATGGGTTGTTGAACTCCAAAGTTAGGAAGACGAAGATTTAATTGTCTGTAAAATGTATGAACAATAATGTTTATGAACCTTACTTGTAAATTGTTGCTTTAATACTTTTGTGGAAATAAAATAAAATAATAAAGTGTAAGAGGTGTCATAATTTAAAAAAAAAAATCTAGAACTCAACCCTGGCCGGGGTCGTGGACCAAGTTGAGTACCAGCATGCCAGGGAGACTCCTTGGGGGGGGGGGGCATTCACAGTCAATCACCCCAGGCCCTGTCAAGTCTAAATCTGGCACTGAGGGTGAACTCCAATAGAGATGAATACCAGTGAAAATAAACACCAGTAAAGATGAGCACCAGTAGGGGTGAACGCCAGTAAAAATAAACGAGTAAAAATGAATGCTAGTAAGGGCTGGAGCTGGCGGACGCTCGCCCCACAAGGGGTCACAGCTCAAGGTTGATGAAGCCACAAGTCAAGAAAACTGTGAGGGTAAACTCTTTCAGAGAGACAATTGTGAACTCTTGGAACAATCTGCCAGAGGGTATTGTGACGGCACCGAGTGTGAGCTGTTTCACGACCCATCGCCCAAGCGGCTAACGAGGATAAAAGTAACACTTCTACCATCTGATCCGAGCCGGGGACCGAACCCAGGACATATAAAGAGGCGCGCGAGTTACCGCTATGCCACTTATAAGAAAATAAGGAATGAACATCATTTTACACCCTCCTCTGCTTGGATCAATGATGAAACGACTAGACAAGCACTGGGTGTACTCAAACAAACTAAAGATATTATACCCAATTAGATTAAATTAAATCAGCGCAGAGGCAAGGAAAAAATTATACCAACGAATGGAGGAATGAACCATACAGTATATCACGCCACTCCTGCTTAATGAAAGTGAAAGGAATCCAGGTATGAGAAGCACCGCTAAAAACACCTGTACAGGACTCATCTAGCGGTATCCGGCACCTGTTTGAGAGGCGAAAGACCGAGTGGGTGGTTTCTCACGTTAGTGACCAGACGGTGACGACTGTACCTCTGCCGGCGCCGGACTTGGCGGTTAGTGCCTTGCCGAACTTGACAGAGGGAGGAGGCTCAGTGCGCTCTGTCTCGACGATCCTCTGTTGACATCATTAATGAAGTTTGAAGCACGCGTTTGTAACCCTAAACGAGGAAAAACATGTTTACAAGAGGAGCGAATGTATACTTACTGAAGTAAAGAACACAACTGTGCACGTTAGAAGTAAATAGTGATATTCTTGGATGGTGCTGAAAATGGTTTCCTGGATCTTGTGGGAGTGGCCCCGGTAGACATAAGGAGTGGTGGACCGCTACTTCACACTCCCTCAGTAAAACATTACTTTTTATTACTTTTTATTTTTACATTATCTACCTGGCGATGATCAACCAGCAGTGAGGAACAACTTGTGGACGTAACTGAAGTGAGTAAACTGTTTATGTATACTGATATTGTGATGTATTTAAGCGGGTACTGTACTCGATAATAGATCCTTCCCTAGATAACAGTATAAAGATGCACTTCTCTAGCTGTCATGAATTGGGAATGCAGTTTGTTTTGTGGTGCAACGTCACTACTAACACCAGCCTACTCCTAATTACTTTACCGTATTTCCTCAGATATTTTTAATTACTTGAAGTGCGAGAAACAACGCCGTTAAATAAATAAAAATTAATGGTTTAGGAAATGGTCGTCAGCAAGGGCTTTAAGAGCACGGTTGTTATAGTACAAAAGGAAGCAAGAAATGAACACAAGTTATCGACGAATCGTGTGTGTGGTGTGATTGTGTGTGTGTGGTGTGATTGTGTGTGTACGTGTGTGTGCGCGCGCGTGCGTGGTGTGTTTGTGCCACCATGTTCACTCAAACTGGAGTCGACCAATTTTGGGGACAACGGGTGTGTGTGTTTGGGCGGTGTGTGTTTATGTATTTTTATTGTCAGCATTTGTCTTTTTGTGTGTTCAGTTTGTGCTGACGAGATTGCAGGTGAAAAATGTATTTTTATGAATGCTTATAATTGTACCTGTGTGCATATATTAATTGCATGAGTGTACTGCATGGCGTGTGTGTGTGTATGGATGCTGTATGAGTGTACTTGTGTGGTGTTTGAATAAGTTAATGTTTGTGCATGAGTGTTGCATGAGCATTTGTGTTACTCTCCATGCTTGTTCGCTAATACTTTGCTCATGTTCGTTCGCTAGGTGAGGATGTTTGAATCTAGGTGTTGCATGAGCTTGCTTGTATTGCACTAGTACAGCTATGAATTGCATGAATATGTTACATTTGTTGTATGAGCATGTTTGTGTTACTTGAGTAATTTATATTACGAAAGGAAGTAGGTTAACGTTGGTTCGGGAAACAAGATACCAAATACTTTCATTAACTCATTCAAGCTAGTAAGTTTCTATAGTTGGGAGAGTGATAATGATTGGTTGTGAATAGTGGCAGTTTCGCATGGGGCAATAAGCGTACTATATATCCCTCCTTGCTACCCACAACATTGAGGAAAGGCAAAGTTGACAAGTTAAAATAATGAGTGAATAGTCTAGGGGTTGAAATACGTGGATGCAGCAAGGAAGGAGCACTCGCGCAAGAATTACCGTTATCGTGACACAAATTTAAGTTATGAAAGGAATAAAAAGATTATTAAGTAAACTGAGTAATTTAATAGCACATATTATTACGTATTGATTAATATAGTTAATGAGGTACATTACACAACACAAAACAAATATGCATTATCAAAACGAGTAAGAACACAACTTAAGTATGCAGTTATTTTGATTTGCTGCTGACCGCTTGATGGCTCTGCTGTCGCCAGTGATGTCTTGACGGTTCTGAAGTGACGGGATCGCCCATCGAAGTGAGCCATCCTATTATAGTATAAAATCTTTGGCCTTAGCAAGTCATGATCCAGGAGCTTTAATTCATGGAGGCAGCATGATGTCATCCTGTCTTTGCGTGCAGCTCTTGAAGCCAGTGGGCGGGGCTAACGGCCACCAGTTTATTAAATATCTTTGGTCAAGATGGAATAGAACTACATCCTTGGGTGGCTATTGTTTGTAACCTACTAGAAAATTTAAGAAAATTCTGGTTCAATACTTCCTAAATTCCCTCAAGGTCCAGGATGAGTTGGCTAGAGAGAAAGAAGAGAGGTGAAGAGGAGTGGGTCGGTGGAGGTGTAAGTCTTCTGCACAGTGTCATCTGCCTTCTGCTGAGCTTCTCCTTCGTCAGATCACAGTGTCCTTGGCCTAAAGAGGTCACGGAACTGAACGGGACGTGCGTATGTGCGTTTAACGTGCGTAACGACTTGTCAATTCAATGTACGACAGTAAACTTTACGCTGCTGATGACAATGCTGCACCAGCGGGCGTCCAGCATATCCCTCGACCTTCTCTACCTCAACAACACCCGCATCAGCGTCCTCCCAGACGATACTTTTGATGGGCTCACCATTGAAAACCTTCAGGTGAGAGACGTAGAACATAAGGGTAGTGGTAAACTAATGATAAATAGCCTAGTCGTCCTGGCCTCTGTTGGTGCCATTATATTTGTCTTTTTTCACCAGTTTCTCTTATTAGTATAATTTATTGTATTACATTTTCTTTAATACGACCCACACTGCACTTTATTAAATATCTTAGATGACGTTGATAAAGTCGACATCCTCTGGCATTTTTATCTTGTACGTGATGCACTGAAGTTATTTTGAGCAACAGACATTGCATGTGTCAGTGACATGTTTAATTCTTATCACAAACCTACGGTTTTCATCACACATGAGTATGAGCGATTTACTCCTTCCTTCCCTCACCACCCTGGCAGCTGTCTTCGTGCGGGATCCACAACATCAGCGAGGGCGCCTTCCAGGGTCTGGAGAACACCTTGGTAAATCTAAACCTCCGGGGCAACTGGCTGACAAAGGTGCCCACCCCGGCCCTTACCGGCCTCCAACGGCTCAAGCTACTCGACCTCTCTGCCAACCGCCTTACTTCAGTTCCTGCATTCGCCTTCAGGGACCTCCATCTCTCCACACTCAGGGTAGGTAATACTGGATAGGAAATGCGAGCTTTGTCTTTTCCACGTCCCTGATGTATACGTTTCTCCCAAGAAATAAAAGATAAGTTTATATCTATCCATTTATTTCGACAAGTTTTTGGCATTTGAACCTTAATATGTCACCGGTGTCATCATACAATCACAAGGACACTGTTAGTGGGGGCATTTAATTCCCCAAATTATGCGTGTCTTCACACCATTATAATCTTTGGTGTACAGTATTAGTTGTGGATGCCTATAAGATGGCGAATCGTTGGGGGAATTTTAGGCTTGTAGCACCAGGGTTGCTTAGCAACCTCGTGTGAGATTTTTTTTTTTGCCTTTAATTTTAGAACTCGACGACCTTGAAAACACGCATTTAATACTCTTTGTGACTTATTTGGCCTGTCCTTTGGTCTTTGTTTTATAATTTATAATGTTAAATAATCCGAATATTTCATTATTTTGTTTTGACAAGGAAACTAATTGTCATCCAACAAATTATGTACAAGCGAGTAGTTGTCTTTGTTTAAGTTGTGAGTGCATCTTGACCCCCTGTGTGTTTTAGTTGTTATATACAGTTATAAACCCTTATTTCCTAATACAGTATAATAGTTACTCACTACATTCCAAAGCTACATCTTGTAATTAACGTTCAGTCCTACCCTGCCCCGTTAGCTTGGAGACAACGAGCTCACCCTCTCTGAGCAGTCCTTCTTAGGACTGGAGCAGACCCTGAAGAACCTCAACTTGAAGGGCACTAAGCAGCTCGCCCTGCCTCGAGCACTCAGAGGCCTCCCCGTCCTCGCCTTCCTTGACCTCGCCCAGAACCAGATCCGCAGCCTGGAGGGAGGTAAGTGTGTAGAAGGTTGCCTGCGTGTTATTGTACATATGTGATGCATAGACTCTGGAGGCAAGCAAGCAACTAAAGAAATTATTTGCTTGACAACCACGTGTGGGATGAATAGAATAACAAATATGAAACATGGGCATGACAGTGGAACAAGAGCTGGATACAAAGCTGATCAATATTTTTTTTTTAAATGTAGAATGATCATATTGAGAGCAATGAAGGTGAAAGATTGGAAGGGAGTGCATCAACACACAGCTGGGTGACAGGAGAGAAAGGGAATTAACGAGAATGAGACAGGAGTATGGGGGGTGGTGGAGGCATTAGGTGGAAGGTGATGAACACTCCAGGAAGCAGCGGTGTATGTGGACGGTTGAACAGCATGCCGTTGAGTGAACTTGATTGAATGACAAGCTGACTCATGACTCTATGAAGTAACAGGGATAATGTCAATTATCATCTTTGGGCCTTGTGAGGAGAGAACACCATAGTCGATGATGACCGTTGCAGCATTTAAAACAACTGATGGTTAATGGCAAAAGTATCGGTGTTGGTCCTGTTGCTGACCAACATTATGCAGCATCGGGAAAAAGCTTCCAAGACGATAAGAAGAATTTTTATGGGATTCCTTCCAAAAAAACATTCATGTTAATTCTCTACTTGGCTGTTTTATCCGTTTATACTTTAACAACCCACCTGGCCTTGTACCATAATTATTGTGAACTTTCTTAACATAATACAGGAATAAGGAGTATAAGTAATGTAATTTTATTTTTATTATGATAGTAAAGCTTAATCATAAAGTCTAATGTATGTTACTGTAGCATCTTTCCTAATTTTTTGTTGTGAAGATATATTCTGAAATATACTCTTGGTGTAGGCACTCTGCAGGACTTACACTCCCTGACGGCGCTGAACGTGGAGAAGAACTTGTTGCAGGAGCTGACGGAGGAGGATTTCTTGGGCGTGAATGATACCCTGAACTCCCTCTCACTCCTCAACAACCGCATTAGAGAATTTCCCAGCGATGCCCTCAACATGTTGACAGAGCTACGGGTGAGTATGACTGCATGTGTCTGGGAGGAAATAAACTAGACAACAGTAAATACAGTATTCTCTATCTTAGTAAGTCACTAATTTATTTGATATTAAAGGAGGGAAATACACGAGAATGGACAACCTGGACGATCAAGACTGTCATAATAATATTAGGTCTGCTGGGGTGAATAAAAACTTGAAAGGGAACTGGTGACGGTATCAACACAAAGACGCTCGTCTCCCACCTCACTAGTTTACTCTGAGCCAAACTTGACCCAGTACATCATATGAGAACAACCCTTCTACCAAAGACCACGGGATATCCCACAAAAAAACTGTTTCATTGTTCGTGATGTGATCAACACTGTGGCCACGGGAAGCTTAGTGGTAATAAGGTGTTCATCAAGGAAGACTCGGGGTTGCCATGTACAGTTGAAGCTCACAGGCAGCAATATCAGGTAGCGGCAGACGAAGGAAATTCACATAACTTTTTTTTTCATCTGTTGCTCCCCACCCCCGACCCCTCCTTCACCCTATAGTAGGGTGGTGGCCATATATCCCCCAACTACCCATCCAGGTTTTTTTAACAATGTAGGGTGAAGCAAGGGAGGTAGGATGAGAGGTTAGGTAGGGTGAGAGAGGTTAGGTAGGGTGAGGGGAGAAAGGGTGAGAGGGGGTAGGATGAGAGAAGGAAGGAGGTAGAGTGAGAGGAAAAATAGAATGAGAGGGGGAGAAATAGGATGAAAGGGGAGAAAGACAGGGTGAGAGGGGGGAAGGAAGTAGGGTGAGAGAGGGGATGGGGGGGAGGTAGAGTGGTGATAAAAAAGCAACATGGAGTGAAGAGAGAGAGAGAGAGGATGTCAGTGACTGGTGGATTTTATAAGGAGTAACTACCGTGTGTCTACCAGCGGCTCACTCTCTCACCATTAAAGCACTTGGTGGTCGCCCGAGAAGACGACCAGCAGCCACGTTTGTAGTCCCGTGAGTTAGTGCTTCACAGGCGGAAGTGATTATGGCGTCCACTGACACCTGGAATAACTACACTCACCTGAGATGATGAGTTACCTGGCTGTGGGGAGAGGTGGTAGGGAGGAAGAGGGTGGGGAGGGGAGGTGGGGGAATGGGGAGAGGAGGTGGGGGGATGGGGAGAGGAGGTGGGGGATGGGGAGAGGAGGTTAGGAGGAAACTGGAGATGTGGTAGGAAGAGGAGTAATGGGGAAAAGAGAGTGGAGGTGGGGGGAAACGAGATAAGGTGGGGAGAAGAGGTAGGTAGGGTAGGGGGAAAGAGAGAGTGGAGGTGGGAAGGAAACGGGAGATGTGGTCGTGGGAATATAGGTTGCAACCGACAAAAGAAGTCTGGTTCCTTTGGACAGGTGGGAAGATGTGCAGATAAGCTGAGAGGAGTTGTATGAAGGTGTGTGTGAACTTGTACTAAAGAATCTGTGGTCAAAAAGTTGAAAATTTGACAATTAATTTCCCTAAAAACTTGAAAGTGATGAAATAGTTTTGCATCCTATTCTTGGTGTTTTTGTATTATTCTGTATGAACCAAAATAGTTAAAACACATAAATTTCTCCATTTTTTAGAGAGAAAAAGTTATTTTGGCCGTCAATGATGCCATGTCTGTATGCTTTAAATCCCCTTTATATATATTCTCAATATTATACTGTAGTCTTTTTACAAAAAACATAAACATGATAGTTTTCACCTTCCAGAGAAAAGCCATATCTCACTTCAGAATTGCCTGACCTATTATTATCTTGTGTTTCGGCTCATTCAGTCATTCCGTAAATTTTGGTCATATTTCATACAAAGGTACTGTACTCTTTTACATGCTGATTAAGGATTTTGGTTTAAAATTTTAAGTTTTGAGTAATAAGTGTTAATTAACCCTCTTGTAGTCTTTCAATGCAAATTGTCGCTAAGCACTCCTGTGCTGGCGCAACCTCTCCTGCTCGGCTCCATCTCACACTGAAAGCACCATCTCCCATAAGCAGAAATGCAATAACAGTAAGAATAGGTTAAGTACAAAATACTGGGATATTATCAGGATAAAAACCACAATGCATATTGGTAAAGCCAATGTGTGCGGTATGATTCATACTGTAATGTGGAGCCTCTAATGGTATCGTTCCACTTTCATTATGGATTATTTTATACGTATTGTTAAAACTAATGAATTTTGCCCGGTCATGATATTTGGATAAAAAGGTACAGTATAGTGGTGGGGTTTTGTTCACATTTTTGTGTTCCTCTTCTCTCCACTTTACTGACCAGATTTTATTCATCTACAGGTGCTGGACATCGGGTTCAACTTGATCAGAGAGGTGCCAGTGGAAGCATTTAGAGGCACCAAGTCCTTGACGCTGCTGGCCCTGGATGGTAACCCTCTCACCACCCTCCCTGGCCCTGCCTTCACCCACCTCAACACCTCTCTCAGGGGGCTCTCCATAGGTGAGGACACCCTTACCTTTGGATGAAATTTGAACAAAATGTCATTTGATGTAAAAAATATGCTTGACCCCGATACCTTGGTTTTCGGCACTTTGGGTAAAAAAATGGATTTTCAAATTTCATACAAAGTTACTACATTACATGCTGATTAAGAATCTGGTTTCACAATATAAAAATTCGAGTAATTAGTGTGAATTAATGACCTTTTATATAATTAAAGGTAATCAGACTATAAAAAGTCAATCACGCTGTGGTCGTAAGTTTTAAATCACCTTTATAAACATTTTCTTAAAAATTGAGTATCTACTACATAAACATGTTAGTTTTCACTTTCCCCCCAAATTACTTTTCTAATGCACTTGTCGTGATCCCAATATCCTTTATACTTGGGGAGTGAAACCTACCCCAAGTTATCATCAAATAAAGGAACAAAAAGGGAACACGGCAATAATTATCCCCACAAAAACCAACTCCACTGAATGTACTTGAAAAAATAAGAATAAGTTGGAGTAAGCGAGTCACAAATGGGAAGATAATTAAATGATTCAATTTATGTTCTTAAAGGAGTACTGTCTAGCAACCATGGAATTTAAGGGAATAAGTGATTGTATATTAAAATAAGAGTGATGCCGGAAGGGTGAAAATATACCGTTAGAGTTAGAGCAAATGAATACAACTTAACATTAACACAGACATTACAATATATACACAGCAATCACAACCACGTGGTTATTTCCTACCAAATAGGAGATTCCTTAACACCAGGATCCCTTCCTAGGCCTAACTTAACGTGCCACTAATTACCAGATACCACTAGGATATTGTAGATGACTGAACAAAGCACGTCTGTACTGGGCAAATGTCGAGGCTAGAGTCGGTGTGGACACGTCCTGCCTATACCACGGTTTACTAGAGAGAGAGAGAGAGAGCCTCTGGCCACACAGAATATGAGTGAGGAGCGTCTTAGCTCACGTGACCCAGGACAGTTGCCAAATAGTCTATAACTAATTAATACCACTCTTGGTTTGACTTGACAGAGTAACACAAATGATGCATATTAATGACATACTTAGATATACAATTAACCTAAGTAACTAAGAACAACAATAAGATAATAGTAAAAATAACAAGTTATTAATAGCTTGTGTGGAGTGGAGGCGTAAACAGATACCACACGACATTTGTGTTCCTAAGAGTTACAGGCACGTGACACTCTTGGCAGCTCATTTTTCATGTTTGACTCCTGTCACCTCAAAGGTTATTCAAACACCTACTGAATGAATTCTAGTGTTCACTGCTCATTGTCAGCATCACTGAAATATACAAAACATGTTTCCCTTATGTCTGTTGGTGTATCCTGTGTGCTGGATTCAGTACTTTTTTTTGTGTGTATAAAAAATTTCCTAACGGACTGCAATGCTTGGGCTCCCAGGTGGTCAGTTTCTACACTGTGACTGCAGGGTGGCGTGGATCTCGGAGTGGATCAACGAGTACGACTTACAGGTGACGTCACGTGGACATAACCCCCAGTTCTGTGCCCAGCCACCAGAGTACCGCGACCGCTCCTTCTACCAACTGACCCCTGATGACCTCACCTGTGACAACACTTCCTTCCTGACTGTGGAACGACCTGTCCAGCCCATGACTGAGTTCTCGACCTCTATGACTACCACAACCAGCACTCTCCCTGCCCTGTGGTCGTCCCCCAACTTACCCCTGACCCCCACCACCACCCAACAACCTAAGGTCAGTGACTAATGGTTGTTACTTTTAGTTAATTCATGTTGATTGAATTGGTTCATCTAGTTTATAAATTAATTGTAAGTTAACTCTGCTAATAATCTGAATAAGTTTACCCATCTAGCAGTTACAACTCAAAAAAGTCACACATGTGTTCATCTGAAGTTTAATGAAAGTGTAATGAATTAATTTATCCAAACTGTGGTTAGAAAACGATTATATGTTGTGTGTGCAACTTATTACTTTTAATATGTTTCTATGATAATTTGACCTTGACCTAATACTTCTGTGTAATACTTTTTCAAGTGTCAGAGTAGAGTTCTCGGAGGAATTTCATAATTTTTCACTGCAAGTCTGATGAGAACCCAAACTTGTAAGATGTGTGTGTATAATAATAATAATAATAATAATAATAAATGGTTTATTGAAAGCATGGCAGCGGCCAGGCTGAAAATATACAGTTCCTAATGCAGTTCCTAATTTCTTTACTCTTCTTCCTCTTAATGGTGAAACTGTTTAAAGCAAGTTTATATTCATTAATAACATTCAGTCCTTCTCCATCATGTGTTTCTACTTTGACCCAACAGTTAACATCAGGTCGACCATATGTCATAATTCCTCCTGGAGCTGTCAATCGTAATGATGAACCTGACGAAGTAGAAGGTGAGTCCTCCTCCCCTCAGGTCTCGGGGGAGAACTCAATTGAGGTAGGAAAGAGCTTCAATCTGGGGCTAGCCGCTGAGGTGCTGCCTACAAGGTCGCAGCATTGGCCGCCCAGGATAGAGCGTCCACTTTCCCAACCTGTCCCTTCCTTGGCCCCTAGACCCAACTTGGTGCGCAGAACTACTGATCCAACACCTCCAGACAACTTCTTTAGCATCCAGGCACAGGGACCCTTCGACGATGAGGTTAGCAGAATCAGGGGGTGAAGAACACCATACTAGTACTAATGGTGTTATGATCTCTCTGAGCTAGAAAATTTAAGCTGACAAAATATAGTGTATCATATACTTGACAAAGAGTCTGTATCCCTATTTTACCAGGGTGTGCAGCTGCCAGTGTTACTTGAGGGTGTTGCCCCTTTTCTACCCCTGTATAACTACTGCATGTTATTTTAACTTGAGAAAGTTTAGTTAGGTGAATGTTATAACTTATCTGTAGCAAAGTAAAGTTTGGTCCATACTCCGGTGCAGCAGGGTTAATAAGCTAAGACTATTTTTGTTACTACCTCCATCTTCCGGTCTTACTGACCCGTATGTGTTGACTTGGCAGGTGATTGTACAGGAGGCCTACAGGAAGGACACATCTGTCATCATCCAGTGGGACTCCGAGGTCTCCAACATCTTAGGTTTTAGGGTCGTCTACAGACTCTTCGGTGACACTAACTTCAAGGTAAGTCAATAGTACCAAGCAGAGATAATACATCTTGTAGTTTGATGGTGAGGAAGGAAGCCGGAAGATCACCAGTGGAGATGAAAACGTTAATTTACCAGGGAAGAAGAATTGAGATTAGTATTTAAGACAGGTCAATAATAATCCAAGAACTTCTCTCTTTGATAACGGTCAGATCTGTGAAAACTGATAAGTTTTTGGCTTCATTTTCTAGACCATAAACTAATATCTATGGTATTCACAGTAACAGTTTAAAGGCAATATGGGAAAGGAAACACAACATAACAGTAAGATGAGGAACAAACTTTGGTATTATGCGAAGTGAAGAATTTTTTTTAGCCAGGAAGCCCCTTGTCCACAACCAAACTTTAGAGGAGAGACTTAACAACTAGCAGTCCATCGTCAAGCAACTCTTACTAATATTACGTCTAATCCTTTCACCTTACATGAGTGTTGTGTTCCTTCGGCAGTTGGGTCCTCCCCTGGCGGCGTCGGAGCGGGAGTTCAAGATCAAGAGTGTGCCCACCAAGGAGTGTGTGGTGGTGTGTGTGGTGTCCCTCGAGCAGGTCACACTTACCCCAGAGACGTGAGTTTTAACACACTTCTCGTATCTGTTGAATAACACCTGCCACCTCTTATACAGTACTGTATTTTCAACACGTAACATTTACTTTAGGTGTAATGGCGCCATCTCTCACCTGCGCAGCGCTAAAAAAAATGTCTGATACATCTGTTCATTTTTTTAAATAGGTTTTCAAAAATAAAATACCAACAAGTTGGATTTAAAACAACAAGTATGATAAAGGGTAAGTATAATGTATGTGTAAACAAAATTAAATTAGAGAACCATAAAGTTCAGACATTAAGTTCATTCTTGGTAGTTGTGAGTAATCTCCCTGTTAGCCTGAATCCCCGATCCCCAGAACTATCCAATGGCCGGAATGGATCAGTTCTAATTAAATTAGAAACACCATTTATTTACTCAAGTCTGTTTGCTCTTTCCCTACCTACCTACCTACCTGTTTCCTGCCTGCTCCCTTCCTTACTTCCTTCCTTCCCTCTCTCCCTATCGGTTCCATGCCTTCTTACCTCCCTCCAATTCAGTGTCTCAGGAAGGGAGGCAGGCAGGGAGCAAAGGAGCAGCAGGGAGGGAGGAAGGGAGGCCTGCCTTGCCTGCACCCTCCCAGCCTTACATGCCTCCCTCCCTCCCCCAGCCTGCCCCTGCCTGCTCCCTACCTCCCTCCCCCCCAGCCTGCCCCCTGCCTGCTCCCTACCTCCCTTCCTGCCTGCCCCTGCCTCCCTCCCTCCCTGCCTGCTCCCTTCCTCCCTCCCTGTCTGCTCCCTACCTCCCTGCCTGCTCCCTACCTCCCCTGCCTGCTCCCTACCTCCCTCCCCTTCCTGCCTGCCCCTACCTCCCACCCTTCCTGCCTGCTCCCTACCTGTTCGTTCCCTCCCTTCCTGTCTGCTCCCTGCCCCCCTCCCTCCCTGCCTGTTCCCTCCTTCCCTTCCTGCCTGCTCCCTGCCTGTTTGTTCCCTCCCTCCCTCCCTTCCTTCCTGTCTGCTCCCTACCTGTTCGTTGCCTGAACAGAGAGGTTTGAAGATATTTTCTGGTACTTTTTACAGAAAAACTCCCGATTTTCATCTTGAGTAGCTTGTTCGCAGAACCTGAATGGAGAGAATTTTCACAATTTTTCCCAACTTGATTTCCATTCCGGACATTGGATAGTTCTGGGGATCGGGGATTCAGGCTAACAGGGAGATTACTTACAGTACTGTATATTGCATTACTTCACTGTTTATCATAATTGTCTGACTTGATTTAATTTATTTGTTTGCATGTACAGTCGGTGTCAAAAGTCTCGAACACTTAGCAATATCTGGTATCTACTTCTGAGTTATACAGGTACATATATGATTGGGATATACTAATAACACTACTTGTCATCACATATTAAGCCTGAACCACAAAATGGGATAAAACTCTCCTTAATACCCAAGATCTTCAGGTACTTACATGCCAAATACTGTCAAGTGCTCAAGATTTTTGACCCCGACTGTATGTCATAGTATTCATGTTTCTTATGAGTCGGATCACAAATATAAACCATTAATGAGGTTGATGTTGGACAGTGTGGGGTACTCCCAATGTAGGGAGATCCGCACCGGCACTACTGCTGCCACACACATGGACACCATCATCATTGCTGCCTCAGCCACTATCTGTGGCACCGTCATCCTCGCTGTCATGGTGTTCATATGCTGCAGCAGAAGGCAAATCGACCACCAGAAACATGGCATCCCAGTCATGATGAACCCATCGTCACCGCCTCTGGCATCGCTTGGCACCCTTGGGAGTAGCATCAAGCCTGACTGGGAGACACTCTCCATGTACTCACAGCAGTCTATACCTAGGATGTACCACATGGACACAGGCGAGTCATCCTCACTTACAGTAAAACTGCAAAAACTATAGTACAATACTAAATATTTTGGCTGCATTTACAGATGTTCATCTTTGTCCTACCCTTGGTGTTACTATGGATTATCAAGTTAAACTTTCCAAGTGATGTTTCCATTGTTACATATATATACACACACATACACTCTATTCGATGCTTACCGTTTCATTCTGTACAATGAAATTTTAAAGATATTTTATCTAAGCCTTTTAAATACAAATTGTACATGAAACTACAAAAGAAGTGGGTAGGAACATGTTCTCCTGCATTCCCACCATGCTTGATGCCTAGTTATGAGTGTGATACCACAAGGTAAATGCACTCAGATGCTGTGTGGCTTGTCAGATTATATAATTAAGTAAAATATGATATTCCTGTCCCTCTTTGGAAATTTTAAATAGTTTCTGTATGTGAAATAACTTAAGGTTTATATTAAAATATTTGCAGGTGCATAATGCTCTTACCCACATTGTTCTAGTCAAAACTTTTGTGACCCCTCATTCCTTCCTGAAACATTATGAATTTATGACCTATGAGGCCACACAACCCACTGTGGTTGATTAGGACTTGTTGTGACACTGCATCATCATCTATGATCTCATGACTTGGTCTAATCCCTCTTAACCTCCCATGACTCTTCATAAACTCAAATGACTCCTCTCTCTCTTCCTAAAGGTTCAATCAACAAGAGGTTTGTGCCTGACGACGCTACCTCACACATGTCGCAGGCATCACTAAGGCAGACACAACGCCCAAGGTCCATGGCAGAGAGTCACTCCTTCCACCGTTCCTACTCCGCTGGGCCTCACCACTACCCACCCACTTTCAACCCAACCCTCTGCCTCTCCAGCCATGGTTGGTGTTCCTCTGCAAGTACAGTACTGTATAGGTGTGGGTGTGATCTGCTGTTAGTGTAGGTATAGTTACTTCTTTTGTTAGTAAAGGTTATCTCTTGATCTCTTTATTTTACAGACAAATTTTATAACCTGCTCCTCTGTGATAAAGTTTTTCTTTCAATTCTTTATTATATTACATATTTACTTGGTCTAGGAATAATTTTATGACTTTACTGAGAACAAGAAAATCCTAAAAAGTTGGCAGAAGACTTGATGCCTTAGTACAGTGATTCTCAAACTGGGGTCCGCGAAAAGTTTTTGAGAAATGGTGTGTTTAACGTTTGTGAGATTTGGCGATTCCAATTCACAGGATATTTTGGATTTGGGTTGAAATGAACAAATGCTTTGGACTGATTTATTCTTTTATTATTGACAATATTTGTATGCGTCATGGTATATAAGAGGTCCTTGGTTGAAAAAGTTTGAGAACCCCTGCCTTAGTAGAGTCCCAGTTGGAAGTGACTTAATTAAGATATGTTTTACACTGAACATAAATTACATTTCCGTCTCCCTTCACTAGATAAAAAAACTAGTATTCAATCAGAAATAAGGTTAGAATAATAAGTGTAGAACATATTTACTACTGTTGATTGAAAAAATCCAAATATAATATTGTCATGTTTCTTATAGTTAATCAAGCTTGGAATGAATAAAACGTCAAAGTTGCAAAATCATAAAATTTAATTCATGGCGGTACTTCAATATATATTTAGAGTCCCTGATTTAATACATCATACAAATAAAATAAATGCCAAATGAAAACTACCGGTATGTAATAAATGCCATTGTATCGGTAAATTTATAATAAAATATGGTACTGTACTTCCATTAATTTGACAAAACAATGGCATTACAGAATACAATATATATAAAACAAAGGCAGCACCATGCACATTGGGATAGCAACACCTGACTACCACATTCCTCATCCCTTACCTTTATACTTCAAGACTCCAGTATGCTTGTGTAATATTTCTATTAAATTGTGGGTGTTTGACTTCTGAGCAACACTGGCAATTATGAACTATTTATACCATTGCAGTTCTGTACCATTGTTGGTTGTGTACAACACCCATCACTTTGTTCTTTGTCAGGTGTACACTAATAAATTTTTTGGGGGGTAGAGGGCAGTACTAGTTACTTTTCTGGTGCTATAAACATACAGTACCTGTACTAGTACACGATGAAAACTTTTTCTTGTAACAAATTTTTACAGGATGTAGTGATTTTGTGTTTACCCTGCAGATCTTAGTGCGTCACGACAGTCACTCCCAAATTCGCAGTTTGGGAGCACAGGATTTGGGCCCATGCCTATGAACCCCAGTGCTTATGGGTTGGGTGCTCCAGACTCCAATATGGGGAGACACTCTAGAACGCCACCTCACCGCAGGGACCGACGACGTCAACGATCCAAGTCCCGGGAACATGTTGGGTCGCAGGTCAGTCATGCAGGATCCTCTCACTCCATCACCAGCTATGACACTGATGGTTGTAATGACCATGACATGGATATCTATATCACAAGGAACCACTCTCGTGGCGGCCTCGTGCGGCTCTGAACACCCTCCTTTCGTAGCAACTTTGTCATTGTTTCAAGAGAAATTTTGCCCTGTAACTCAAAGGGCATGTGACAGGATAATTTAAACTGGAGTATCTCACTGTGGGATGTCTGAGGAACCAGTTTATTTCTCATCTGAAAATGTCAGTACTGACCTCTTTTGTCATGTTGGTGGTAGTGAAAGACAACTTGGGTAGAATACTTACCTTACTTGGAAAGTTCTCGGAGAAATGAAGACAATGCAATAAAAGTAAAAAGATAATACTACAGCAATAAACTTAAAGTTTACCAGTGTGAATAGTGATATAAATGTGTTTTTTCTGACAGAATAAAATCAGATTTTTTCTGGAAAAAAAAAAACCCCAAGATAAAATAAAACTTCTTTTTTCTATATAGGACTGACAAGTTCTGTACCTGTCATTCTCTCTTGCTCTTGAAATTGTGTAATTATATAATTTGATGACATTATTCTTTTCCTGAAATTTTTTTTCTTTTAATAGTAATGATAGATTATTTCACACAAAGTATATTTTGAAACTATCAAAATACTTTACTGAAGAGTACAGTATAGTAAATATATCTGAGAATATTGCCAATGATTGTACAACATCTTTGCAGAGTACAGTACTTTGCAGTTACTACTTTTTACAATAGTGAATGAAACTGTAAATTATCTAAAAACACTATAATGATATCTTGTATTTCAAGCAACTCCAATGCAAATGTACGAGAGGCTAAAAAAATACAGGAAAATTTGGGGGGGGGGGAGGGGGTGTTCTGCCCAACACACACAATAAAACTTTTATTATATCTCTTAAGTGTGAAGCATTACATCTATAACAGTATGGGAGGCTATCAGATGATGGAGATTCACAGTAAAATGCTCCAAGTTGTCAGACCAAGACGAGGCAGCAAGGCATCACCAGCTCGGATGTTATATTACTTGGACAACGTCTCGCATACACAAGTGGCTACAGCAACTGGACAGGTGAATACTGCACAGAAATTTATTTGCACAGTAAAGTTCAGTGAAACTAAAACAATAATAAAATAAAAACTATCTTCATATATATAATCACTTGCATAATTTTTTCTTCAGTCATAAAGTTTTTAGAAAATTAATTGGCAAGACAGCTGAAACGTTCTTTGTAAAATCCTGGTCTGTTTTTTTGTTTTTCTGTTCTGATTCACTGGACTTCAGGGCTGGCCTGCTTATTGCAACATGTTTATATGACAGATTTTAATGAGATTACTCTCATTTGCATTTCTTTCATCTTACACCAAGTTAGAACTGTGGGAAATGACTTTATTTGTTTGGTAAATTGACAAAAACCATTACCGATTGTTATAGAACCTCACTGGTTGATTGCTGTTTACCTTTGTGTTGTATAGCAGTTTTGTATAAACTTGCCTTGTATTATCTAGTGCAGAAAATAGTTCAGAAAACCATTTTGTGTTGTTATTAGTTAGTCTTGGTCACCAGAGACACCCAAGACTAGCACCTTGGTCACCAGAGACACCCAAGACTAGCACCTTGGTCACCAGAGACACCCAAGACCAACACCTTGGTCACTATGTTGAAATGCCCTGTAGTTTGAGCTTCTCCCCACCTATTTATTATATATCATATTTGTATCACTTATGTTACTTGTATATTATTTGTAAATCAAGAGACCCATTCCTCAATTATGTAACTGTATATTTTCAGCTTTCTGGCTGCCGTGCTCTTTCAATAAACCATTAATTATTATTATACTAACACCTTGGTCACCAGAGACACCCAAGACTAACTAACACCCTGGTCACCAGACACCCAAGACTAACACCTTGGTCACCAGACACCCAAGACTAACACCTTGGTCACCAGACACTCAAGACTAACACCTTGGTCACCAGACACTCAAGACTAACACCTTGGTCACCAGAGACACCCAAGACTAACACCTTGGTCACCAGAGACACCCAAGACTAACACCTTGGTCACCAGAGACACCCAAGACTAACACCTGGGTCACCAGAGACACCCAAGACTAACACCTTGGTCACCAGACACTCACGACTAATAATTGTAAAAACTACTAGGCTAGTGATAATACACTTACACTTATTGTTTTACACTGTGTATATTCACAAGTTACCACACTATATGCAGATTTTTCATCGTGTGGCTGTGATCTACTCTCCATAATTGTCCCTGACAAGATAACTGGAAATGTTCACTTACCAACAGAGTCCCACAGTCCTTGAGTGTGTAGATTCACTACTAGTTCACATCAATTCAGAAGATCTAAATCTGAGTTTAAAAAAATTAATATTACAAGCTTAGGAAGAATGAATTAGGTTATAAAGATTAAATATATATGTGAATTTATTACCACAATTGACAAAATAATATATTTAAACTAAAACAAAAAACTAATTTCTACAGCAAGAAACTCTTCCTAAACTTTATTCATTGCCATTAACAATAAAAAAAATAATATAGTACCATGTTACTGCACAGATTTTAAAAAATTCAACAAAACTACCAACTAATTCTAGATGGGCTAATTGTCTTTTAATTACGTATTTTAGTGTAAAAAATGGCAAGATATTGATACCCTGATTAATTTAAAACTTGAAAGCATGCAGACTATTTTTCTTAAACATTCACCAACACGGGGAGCACATACGTGTTAATCAACCTGAGTGTCAGCGAGTCACGCAACAATGATTAAACTGGAGTGATGCGTGAGAAGAAAGGGATCTCTGCAGTTAGTACAAAGGTTATGGATCAGGAAGCTGCCATAAAACGATTTAGTGAAATTAACTTAAATAATAAAGTTAATTTATATGAAATTGGGTGAAACATTCTGAATTGGGCAAAGAGCTGTATTGTACACTTGCTATTTATTTTATCACTATTATAGCTTTGTGCTTCTTAGGTAGACAAATACAGTTTAACAACCAGAAGTTCAGTGGCTTTGTATGCCATTGAGTCTTGGTCAACATGCCACTCGAAGGGCAGTCAGTCACAGACTGCGAGTCATTATTCATCAACCCATGAGTCTCTCACACAGACCTAGAGTCATTATCACAGAGTGGGTAAGGTAGGTCAGGTAAAATTATTATTATTTTTTGTCTGAGTATCTGTAAACCAAGTAAATAGTATATTAATTAACAGTGGTTATATAGTCACACTACATATACCACTATCTTAAATCTGACATATTCCATGCTTCCTCCTCAGCAGTGATCTATCATCGTCTTAAACCGCTGAACTGTCAATGCAAAATATAACCACTGTTATCTTACTCTTCTGAATGTGGGATCTTAAAATATATACAAAGCTATTCTAGCTGGAATGACATTTGTTTTAAACATTAACTTTATATAAAAAAATATTTTAAGCAAAGTAGCAATGATATTAATAGTCATTAGTGTATTCGCTGTCCCAATAATTATTAATTATTTGTAATGATGTAATTCACTGACGAAAAGCAAATCTGTCTTAAACTGAATAGTGTACATGACTGAAAAGAAGTTAAGTATGCTAAAACAAGTTATGAAACCACTTGAGCATCAATCTGCCACTGTAAAGTAGTAAGTAAGTTTAAGCTGATCCTCAACACAGATGGGATCACTCTTCAGCATAACATGACATGCAACTCTACCAAATCTGTCCAGCCGGGGGACACCCAAACATCTTCAGAAGTGTTTAGTGTACCACCACATCATTAGTGCTAGGCCTTTACCAGATTTATATTAAGAAAGGAGGCTCTGTACTTCTTTGTAACTGCTGCTATTATAACCAAGAACAACGATGAATTAAATCCTAAACTGATTCAAGCAGTTAATCTCTCCATATGCATATTTTGGGTGTGTGCCATGTTGAACATAACTGAGACTTGGTAACGAATTTTTCAGATATATCCAAAAACTTAAGCCACTTCCTTTTCAATGAACTATTATCAAAGGCATTCAACCTTGAAAATCTGATTCGTTAAAAAAAAAAAATTCTCTTAGAATCCAAATTTAACCCCTTTATATGCATACTATACTTTGAACATTAGTGGCCATCACACCTAAAAATTTAAGGATTGATATTAGTTTTTGAGATCCTCCCACTAAAACTACTATTATGAACACTAATGCCTATAGTTCACTTGAGAGACTCTGTCAAAGAATAAACAATTTATGCCAGCTACAAAGGAATTCTAAGGAATCATATCCATTAAAATACAAGAATATATTCCTTACAATGAAAGCACAATTTCCCTAAAATATATGAATTATATTCCCTTCAAACAAGGCAAGAAAGACCCATAAACACTCATTCCTACATTGCATAAACATCCGAGAGTAGTAGTCCCTCTTACTGCATCGGCTTCACACCCAGCACCTTCGCCAACCTCCACTGAAACATAACATTAATTTGTTTTATTTCTTATGGTACCTAAATTATGTTTTCAACCCACTAAGTTGGAAAGGTAGATAGAATAATAGATATTTCAATATATAGATCCAACTTACTAGAATTAGAAAGTTTAACAAATGCAAATACTCTGTACAAGCATAGATTTCAATAGTACAAAGAACACACACAGTAATTATAATGTGATACTATCAATATAATTAAGAGGAATGAAGCATAAAATCCTACTTTATAGCAGAGGTGACAAGACAAGTGACCCACAAGATCACCCCTGAAAGGCTAGTGTTCTGTCAGACCCATGCCAATTACTCCAGAACAGATCCTAACCCAGCAGTCTTTGAATATATAATACAATACACTGCATATGGTAAAAAGGATTGTGATAAACAATAATACTAAGAAACATTACCCTATAACAAGCAGTGAAACAATACTCCTGTTTGACTCAGAACAATGTCAAGAGGATATCTAAATGGCTGGGGTGTGGCAAAAAAAAAAAAAATATGATGGTTCAAAGCATGAAGTCCTCATTTATGGCTGTTTAGGCATTTGAGACAAAAAGAAACGTATCTTGGTGTCTTGACCTTGTGAATCTGAAGTCTAACTGGCCCTCAAGGCAATTGAATAGGAGTTTAAAAAATTGCTGTAATTGAGGTTTGCTGGGCGAGGAACTTTCCATTAGCATTTCACATTGGCCTCGGACAGAATACAGTAATCTGCTGTTAAAACATGTCAAGCTGTGCTAAGGTGTGTTCTTGTGGAGGTATCTCAAGTTCCTGAGGACCCATAGGCTATAAAGACAAACTAAACTAAAGTCTACTTAATGTAATCATAAACACTTATAGATGAACAGCTTCTTAGGGAATGATATAACCATAAGTTACAAAGGGGAGACAAAAGTGGTGGGGATGGGAGGGAAGTGAGAAGGCAGGTTAGATTATGGTAAGTTAGGCTGTTGGAGGGGAGATAAGAGGAGGAGACACATGGAGGGGGGTAGGGTGTAACTCTTGGACACAAATTCTTCATACATACCAAATCTGTGATCTGGTTGATGTGATAAGTGATGCCACCCTCCGTCTTCACTTTCTCCATATGTGAGCGTTCAGGATCACCTGCAGCTAACACTGGTTTATTTGGATCAGCCTGGAACAAATTAAAAGATCCCTGACTGATGTGTAACTACTCTGTGGTGTAATTATAACAGTACAAGTATATTTGCAAATGACTAGACTGTCAAAATTAAGCAGCAAACTCTAAATGTAACTTATCTATCCAAAAATTTCAACAGACATATTGGTGATTCCATTTTATACATCAAAGCTTTCGTGCAAAAAATTAAACAATTAATTTATATGCAGATCTACCCCCTTTATCAACTGAATCATTTGGGTCCCTTACTGACTCCATGCCACGACAATGATCCATCAAGTCACTCATGCGATCTTCAAAGCCTGGAGCAAAGAAGGAGGGGTCGATGGCCACAAAACATTGCCCCAAATCTGCCTCTTGGTCTGTTTGCATCCATCGTCGCACATTTGGACCGTATTGTCCACCTGGTTGCAAGCATAAAAATATTCTATAATGGCAGGATAAAAATGTAGCTATTCTCTCTCTTCATAATACAACAACATCCTGTATAGTTTATTCACCAAGGAAATGTAAAATAATCCTGACGCCCACTTTCTCTCATCTTGGCTTGCGAATGGCCATTTAGAAAACAAACAATTAATAAAGTGCTGTATATTGACTAAAATTTGTTTCCACAGAGGATACTGCCACATGCTCACAAAACCATAAGTCATATTGTTGGGTGGGGCAGTGTGACATTTTCATAATGAATAGACTATAGTTTGTGTGACAAAGCCCAAGTAAATACCTATATCATAGTTCTTTTCTACACTTAAAAGGCGCAAATTACTACCATACATGAAGCCAGCTGGTGACTGTTTACATCATGAGCACGAACAGGAAGATGTTTAAGGTGGGGAGTTGCTGACTTTTGTATTTTTTTTTTTACCCCTAACTGGCAGCCGGAACAATTGGTGCAGAGCACTTCCGGGAATAAGAGATTTTTGGGTAAAAAGATGACTCTCAAAGCTGACATCCCTCATCCCCGGAATTTTCCGGGTACTGAGAAAATTTCCTCAGAATTATATATATACTTGTACATTGCGGTACTACAGTGCTTGAAAATAAACAGGATAAAACGTGATCAAATCTAGAGGTATTGAGTGATGTTCCTTACAATATAGGGGTTCCCATAGCAGAGTTGCCAATCGAACAACGTTGCCAAAAGATCAAGTCGAGGCAACACTACACTCTGTTTCTCTACACCATCATTTATTTTTACTGGGAGGCGAGTGTCAACGTAACATTCCAGGGACTGAGTGAAGTGCAGAAGGAAACGGTGACACCTTATCTTTACATAATATAGAAAGTTGTGTAAAAGAATAAAAAAAAGTTGAAAAGTACCAAAAAGTTGTGTAAAAGTATCAAAAAAGTCCCTTTGTCCTAAGTTTGGCTTTGGTTCCAATCATAAATTCAAAACATTTGATTTGTTCATAATTTCAATACAGTAGTATACTGTGTACTCCTCTGTATTGTGAATAAAGATCCAGAATATTTTTTTATTACAGTTATTACCTCTCCTAATGACTCCGTAAAATTTAAAATAGTTTTATTACACAAATTACTTGCCACATGAAGCAAATTGATCTCCTCAATAATTATCTAAAAACATTTAAAACACTCACTTTTTTAAACAAAGCAACATTCTTATTCAAAAAAAAACTAAATAAATAAATAATCATGGCCACAGAAATAGCCTTAATCATGCACTTTATAGGTTGTGGAGAGAAAACCAGGGACAGCATAAAAGAACAATATTTACAGTAAAGATCACATCACACCCCGAAACACATGCGAATCCACAAAGCGTAGGAAAGAAAAGCATCTGGTATGTCAGTTATGAAACAACAAACACCATTCCTTGCAGCACACTGCTTGTCACAGGTACACATTGTAATATTCATGCCAGTGATCACCAAACTATGTTTAAGACCATAATGGAAGTCAATGATCCAAGATAAGGCATTTCTCTGCACCCTGTACAGTACAGTATATACTATGTTGAACTTAATGTTTAGCCTTCCATAAAGTACAGTCAAATGCCTTGACAAAATCAAGATACAAAGTAATGGTAATATTGGAGCAGATGGCTAACACCAGAAGTTGTTGTTCTTTAGATGATATTAAGTAATAAAAATTATCATAAATCACCTGCAGTGGGCAGGGTATGAAGGATGAGGGAAATTGCAGTTAAAAACGGTGAAAAACTGATCATTTTATGATCTCTACATGTCTCTACGTGAAGTTAATTATTTACTATAAATATTCCTCCGAAAAATCTACCGTTGTTGGCACTGCACGTGTTGTCTGCTCTTTATTTGTTTACGAGCAGCAACTGACCCACTCAGTCTGAGCGTACTCTCACATCCACAAAAGGCGTAAAATTACACCATGATGCTTCAACAAAGTTGCTTTCATTGGCTACAAAGTCAGATAAGGTTAGGCATGTTTCTTAGGACAGGTTCTATTAGGTTCTGTGCAGTGTCGTATTATTTTTATTACTTCCTATCATCCAAAGAACATCTGTGACAAAATTAACGAAATTAAACCATATGTTCTGCTGTCAGCCATCTGCTCCAGCATTACCAAAATAACTATTACCAGCATGTTCTAGAATCTCTGGTCACATCTCCAGTCCTTCCAGCAGTCATATCAAGCAAGTGCATCCAGGCATAAATCTATGTTGGCATTCCTTTACAAGGTTGTAAAATGAGAAATAAAACTCCTATAAAGTACTATACTGAAGAACACAGACTTCCCTAGAGAAACATTGGGCTTCCTCCACTGAGACCCAGTTACTGGAGCAGAATAACACTTAGCCCTATTCAATAAAAATGATGCTTCAGCTACTGTTTGAGGCATGCATCATCCACCGTGCCTAAATACCATAACAGATAGCCTCAAAATAATCCAGTCATCCAGATTAACCAGACAAAAAACACTATTTAGACATTTCAGTATCACATTTAACATCATGGTAAAGATTCCTGAAGCTATTTTTAACCCAAGAGGTGCACAGTATTTTGAACTGATAAGAAAGATATATGTACACCTGAAAAGAAACGTTCAGAATTTCCTAAAATGCTTATGAATTGGCACAAACCAATAAACTGTACATCCTTTAGGTTAACAGAAATTGAAAAAAAAATTCTCTTCAAATTCCACCTTGCCAGACTAATTTTTTACTTTCCACAGGGTTAGGGCAGGGGTAGAATATCTGTGCTGTGTAGAGGGTGACTGGGATGGGTGCTCTAGTTTAAATGGTTTTACAAATGTCTAAAAATGAATGGGTCATGCTCAGTTGATCACAGCAAAACTCTCAAGCCTTCTCCCTTTACAATAATTCTCAGGCCTTCACTCCTTTAGGGGGACCTTTTTACCAAGTGGACAACCTTTGGGACCCTGGTGTGAAGATGAAGGTCAATCTAGTCATCAAAGCTTTTACAGTATTCAGTTTATAGATCCCCATCACCAGCTGGGGCCTGGGGTTATGTCCTCTACACCTGCTGACTGTACAGAGTTCTTGATCCTGATGCAAGTTATAACATGAAAAAAATTAGCGAAATAATGACGGAAGTACAGTGTAATGATGTCACCCCTTTATAAGCATCCATTACACTGTTTTTTTTTAAGGGAACTATGTCTTGAACAAACTTGTGTGATGGGTTGTCAACTTTTAGCTGCATGCAAATCATTTTTTTGAGTTTCAGTCCATTTCACTTTGTTTTCAGTTTTTCCACATCAATAAATTTTTGGCCTGCTTTATATATCTATACTGTACTTATTTCACAGATAATAAATAAAGTATGTAAGTAAGTAAAAAAATATAGATGCATTTTGTACAACACCTGTGTGAAGGAGAGCATTTAAATATCAGAAACAACCTAGTACAGGTACTCCCCGACTTACGACGAGGTTGGGGACCGACATCCAGTTCGTAAGTCGAAATGGTCGTAAGTCGTAAATGCTCAAATAACACACAGAAAATCTAAAATGGATGTCTCTTTTTCTTCTCAGCACCACAAAACACTCACTTTTAAGCTTGCCAGCCATTTTAAAGTGAATTACAGATGAAAATTTTGTCTGTGTACTGACGTTGGGATTCAAAAATACATAATTTGCCCTAATTTTGGTACGACTGAGGCAGGTCATAAGTGCAGGTGGACGTAAGTCGAGTAGGTCGTAAGTCGGGGAGTACCTGATACTTTATATAACTAACCAATAACACTAATATAATACTGTAAAATACTAGGGATACTTCAATCTATCAGCATGTCCTGCTAGTTGACCCGCTTCACGATTGATTATGAATGACATGGTGTACAAGAATGTGTACCCAACAAAAATATTACAATGTACTGTACAGTTAGCTCCACCCCTGTGTTTACCACCTAGCATTCAAAAATGTTCTTAAAAATTGTTCCCATTTAACATCGCTGTTTGGCACGAGTGAACTATGTGGTTTGTTGAATCTATATTGGACAGCTGCCAACTAATTTTGTTCACATCAGTTTGTATTACAATAAATATGTGGTGCCTACTTCCTTAATGTTTTGATTGCCAATTAATCTCTTCAATACCACGTCTTCTTATCTATTTTATTCTGGTTACCGCCAGACGATTTTATTCAGTTGAAGAGGTTCCATCTCGTAGTCAAAGGGTTAAACAAAATTTCGCTGCTTCTACAAGATATAGATTCAAACATATTCATAATCCATTTGCTCATAAATGCTCACTTTTGCAAAGGAACACCTTACTCACAACAAGAATTCACCCCCCTCACATCCTATTGTAACTTTAGTATTTTCATCTGGCTAGCGATAGACGATTATACTCAGCTGAGGAAACCATTTGGTATTGTCAAAGTGTTATCCTGTGTTGTAAGCTCTCCCAACTGATATACACTTTCCATCCTCACCCCCAGTACCCCCCCCAGAAAGACACCTACCCTGACACACCCCTCCTCTCCCCCTCCCGCTCACTTGTGAATGCCTTGAATACACACTTCAGAGTTCAGGATACACATCTCTGGGAGAGAGGATTGGCAATGTTTGGCAGTAAACGCAGGAATGGTGCCAACTGTACATCACATTGATCAACAATTACTTGATCCATCAAGGTTTTACAATACCAGTCATACACCAAGGGGACTTAAGCCTTATAAATGTGATTACAATACCTTCCAATGAACTAAAGACATAGTTAACTTGCCCTTCAGAGCATTTACAGGTCAATGTATTGCATCAACAACATGTCTCTTAAAGTCAATTATCATATATTAAGTGAGGCAATACTTGTCTTTCTCCCTCTAATCATCTGGACGTTAGTAAACTGCCTGAGCATTTATGAGAAACTAATAAATATATCAACATTATTTTTAGTACCTGAAGCCACCAGGTGTTGACAAGAACACATCACCTATTCAGTTCCCAGCCAATTAGTTTATTGAAGAAAAATGAAGTGAAACCTGTTAAAATAATAATTGGTTTCACTTGTTTCTACAACCTTATAAATTCAAACTAATATATCTATAGACTGAATAACCAATACCTAATGTTCTGATAATTCTATTTTTACCCCTTTACTATGGGGATGCCAGTTTTTATATTTCATTTGGCTAACACCAGATGATCTTATTCAACTCAGAGGCATCCCTATACACAAGGGATAAAGGTACAGTAGTTCAGTAGGATCTTGAACAGACTACTGACGTACAGACCTTTACTTGCCACACACAAATAGAGTTGCTGGTAAGAGAAAAACCCACAATTCTGGTTCTGTCTTGGGTTCATACCAACATTAACTCCTTAAACTGAAGTGAACCATATTCATCAAATAATGCAATTACTGTACTTATAAGTTAAGTGTCTACCCTAAAGTCACGTTGCATGACTGCATAAGAAAAATATCACTGTACTTGCCTGACAAGATGCCACAGAAGATCTCTACTAACATGCCAAGGCCATAACCTTTATAGCCAGAATGGAGCTCTGAACCTCCAAGAGGCAACAGTGCTCCTTGCATTCCTTCTGCAGCATTTGTGGTGGGCTGACCGTCCTTGTCTAATGCCCAACCCTCTGGGATAGGGTTTTCCTTACGACGCTCTATCTCAATCTTTACAGGGGAAACATCCTCATTAGAGTAAATATTGTAGCAAAGCACAGTCTTACATTATACAAAAAAGTTCTTATACAATGCATAAGTTCATGGTGCTTGAAATAATTAATTCTTCAAAATTTAAGAAGGTATGTGTGATTTTAATTAAAGAATGGCAAGACCCACCTAATGCACCTCCTTCCAACTCCTGGAGATGAGTTTGGACAGAAAGGAAAGGAAAGATACTGTTAGAAAAATGAGGAGTGTGTTCAAGGAGAGTGAGACAAATTCTAGTGCTTATTGTGCAAGTGAGTTTAGTTTTGTCTACAAGTACATGAAAACACGTTCAAGTCATCAGAGGAGTAAAACTTTAAAAACAAGAGTAAATCACAATAATTATCATGCACATCAGTTTATCTACATCCAAGCTATACAGATACATGAAACGGAGAACAATGAAACTATCCAGATACTAATAGTGTACTTTCCATTAGTTATTTCTTACTATTAATAATGATTACTGTGCAAATTCCATTGTCTACAAAATACCTTAAATATAGACACCTATCAAAGTGCATACCGTACTGTACATAGGAGGCTTTGTGATGTTATAGAGGCTTTCATCCTTCTTACTCTCACTTAGGTAAAATACAGGTGAGAACCTCGACTCAAAGAGAATAAAGAATTCCTTCACTATTGACCAAACTTGAGAATGAAGTTAGGTTGACAGATAATAAATGAATATATTTTCATATATCTAAATACCGCTTTCTAGTATGCGTTATTGCACCTTACCTTACCAACAGCCACCACACAGGTAGCCATGTCCAACACGAAATTGTCCCCATTCTTTGCCGGGGCTGACAGGGCCAACGGGTTAGTTCCCAAGGCCGGCTTCACACACATAAAAAAAAAGAGATAAATTCAGCTAAGAACATCATTAATTAACATTTGTCCATCATGAATACTTAGAACATTTCTTATATAATACTATAAGTGTATTTTAGTAAACTGTTATATTCTCACTAAAAAACTGTTTAAGCACAAAAGGTACAAAAACTATACTGCAGGAGAACTTCATGTAGAATGAGGTTTAGCTATGTAGGATCTCATTCTCTGTCGAGTTTAATATCTTATGAGAAAAAATAGGGATTTGTTCCTAGTCTCTTCCTCAAGAATAATTTTTTTTCTATCGAGGTCAAATAATCGTCGAGAACTTTTACATCCTCCGCAGCAGTCTTGTCACTCTTAGACCCTAGCAGCAGTGTGTAATAAATATGATCGCATTACAGTACTAACCTTCTTGGCGCGGGTTGGAGCAACAAGGGGGGACGTGTTGGTGAAACTCATGCCCTGAAACACATGATTACAATAAATACATTGTGAGAAATACTCTTTTCTTTATGATCAAACCAATATTTTTTTTACTCTTATTCAATATGATTCATTTTAAATTCTTTGTCATATATCAAATCTCCATTCATTAAAAACTATATAAATCATAAATAATTACAAAGTAAAAATGTTCTCTTGATGCTAAACAATTATTCAAGCATTATCTTTACTCTCCCGTTTTGGTTTGGGGATGATCAAGGGACTCACAAATCTCCACACATTAGGGAGAGGTGAATGGTAGGGGTTAATGATACAAGCCAAGCGTTGAAAGTCACAGTAAAAGGTTGACAAAGCTACGGTACTAAACCTACTCTCCATACTGTACTTCACATCCTCAAGTAGTGTCTATCAGCAAAATTATGTACAGTTTATTTGAGTGAGTAGCTCTGAGATTAATTAGATATGGTAACATGCCATGAAAAGTTAGTTCTTACCAGAAATCCTTCCTTGGTGGCTCTCATGGCATACCAACCTGCTATGCCATAATGGTTGCTACCTGAGACATTAAATGGGTGTTAAGTTCTACATACCCTGTACTGGGTGGTGGCAGTTTATAAATTTCTATATGATTAGTAATTCTAGGGAAAAACATTAAGAAAAAAACAGGTTGTCCTTCCCTTCATCTGCTTCACAAGGACTGGATCTGCAAGTACTGTACCGTATGTGATTTAATTTTTATCATTCAAGTTTTGTTTATGCCCGGCTAAGGTTCACTCGTGTGTAGATGTGTACCATGCTCTTCCTTTTCCCCTCGTGTAGTCCATCTTGATTGCCAGAATGCACCAAGAACTTAATCAGTGTAAATGTTTGTTCTATTTGCAGACTGGATTTCACCTTTTTTGCCTACAATATTGGGTTCCCAACAGCACCCTTCAAGATATAGCTCCAGATGTAACACTTGGTAGAGCTTGCCAATATAACTGATCCCAGGAACTGACTGTAACAATATAACTGACCCCAGGAACTGACTGTAACAATATAACTGACCCCAGGAACTGACTGTAACAATATAACTGACCCCAGGAACTGACTGTAACAATATAATCCCAGGAAACTGACTGAACTGACTGTTACAATATAACTGACCCCAGGAACTGACTGTAACAATATAACTGACCCCAGGAACTGACTGTAACAATATAACTGACCCCAGGAACTGACTGCAACAATATAATTGATCCCAGGAACTGACTGTTACAATATAACTGACTGCACCAATATAACTGACCCCAGGAACTGACTGCAACAATATAACTGACCCCAGGAACTGACTGCAACAATATAACTGACCCCAGGAACTGACTGCACCAATATAACTGATCCCAGGAAATGACTGTAACAATATAACTGACTGCAACAATATAACTGACCCCAGGAACTGACTGCACCAATATAACTGACTGCAACAATATAACTGACCCCAGCAACTGACTGTAACAATATAACTGACCCCAGGAACTGACTGCACCAATATAACTGACCCCAGGAACTGACTGCATTATCATCAGGCTTTTTCTCATTATGCCACAAGTAGTAAACCTAACACAAGCCTATGATCGTGGTATGATAATTAAGTCCCTGGTGTAAATATCTATATAATCCCTCTACATCCATTGGGTATACTTCTCCTTACTTAATAATAATATACTGTACTGTACATGTTAAATATAAATGAAGTACAGTATAATAAATATAATAACTATTAGAGTTAGGTTTAAAATACAGTAATGATAATCTGCAGATAATATTGGCAAAGCATACAAAACAGTATAGTATAGCACTGTTTTTTTTAGTTGTTTATCGTATCCATGTTAAAACTATTTGACAGTCATAGTAGAAACTGGAAATGTATATATACAGTACAGTATGATATAATCACTATGGTGTCATAGCCCAGCACCAATCATGACTATTGTTGAGACCTCTTTCAGGTACAGTATCCGTTTGTCTGGCATTTCCGTGATTTCTAGAGCTGTGATTAGTATACAGTAAAAACATTCTGTAGATTGATAACGTTACAGTACTCAAATTATAACTAAGAATATAAATAACAGAGTATAAAAAATACTCTGCCTGCATTTCTTACAGCTTACTGATGCATATTTTGGTAGACATTAAATAATGATGGATGGACTTCATAGGGATAAAATGATATGGGAATTTTGTTCCTAAACTTGTATATACCATAATACTGTACTGTATTGTCTGTGTTATAGTTGAGAAACAACAAACTACCTTGCTAAAATATAGGTTCTTGTCCCATTTACTGAAGCAAAACTAAAAACAAAAGCAGATGACTTCTCTCCAATTAAATTTTTCCCATTTTTACTTTTTTATAGAAAATTTAATAAATACTGCATCAAATAATCTTAATAAGAATAAGCTCAATATCTTCCTGGCATCATTGCCAGCCAGGAGTCATGCCAGAGCCTTGTCTGTAAAGATCTTTGCTCTCCATTTTCATAATTTCTAGTGATGCAGTTTGTAAATATTTAATCAGTAGTTTGATTACATTACTGTACTTCTAAAACAAAAGTTTTGCAATCCCTAGTGAAAGTGAGGGTGACCTGTAAGTTAATAAAAAGAAGTTTTTAAGAATTCTAATTGGCCTGGTAAAACAAAGAGAAAGAACTACCACAAGAATTACATTAATGTTGCCAGTTACTGATGGACAGACAATACATGCAATAACAAGCATTAAACTGGATTAAATGCAATAATTAACAATAGCATTCCTGACAACTTGTGTATAAGGTACCAGGTTAAATTGTTGGCAGCCATCAATTATGTAACGTGATGTATGGTACAGTATCTGGTTGGTGTTGATCAGTCTCTAGTTACCTTTTAGTTATACAACTTCGAGTTAACAACAAAATTTCCTGGAAATTTTATATAGCCGTACAGTACCTAAAATACCAGGAGTATTTCAACAATGAGGGGACTTTGGTCAAACATAGCTGAAGATAAAGTGATAATTTAACTAACTATTTAATTAACTTCAAGGAATCCTCCCCCTCCCCCAAATCTATAAGCTCACCTCGAGTACAGACCCAGCCAATACCAGTTTCTTTAGCTTTCTTTACGGCCAAATCCATACAGAAGTTGCCAACAACAGGTCCAAGGCCATTGTTGCCATGGACAAGAGCCGTGGACACACTCTCCTTTGTTATAGTGGGAAGAGCATCTCCAGCACACACCTTCTGCTTCACATCATTTGCATACATTTCTGGAATATAATGATTGTGTAAGGAGAAATTAAATTTTTGAAGACTTTCTTATTCACACACCACATTGAATATTCAAATCCATCAGAAATTTAATAAATGTTGTACTGTATATAGTATTTTAAATGAAGATTCTGTAGGAGGTTCATAAGTTTCACTGACATGCCTTCCTAAAAAAAAAAACTTAAATTCCTCCTTTATTTTCATAAGTGAGATAAGTTCACAACCTCTTGGTAGAAATGTTAATCCCACAAATACCAGATTGGAATAACAAAACAAAGAACACCCACCTAATCTATTGAGTCCATGACTGAAGTGGCCTCGGTTGTCAGCCGCAACAAGGACGTCAGCAAGGGCAGTAGCATTAGGCTTAGGAGTTCCAACAGCTACCATGCAATCTACCATGTAACGGTGGACTTCATCGACTGCATACTGATGACAGAAAAAAATTATGTAGTATATATTATATAAACTAAATTGACGGCAACACTTTTTACATGATCTTATCTTACTTCGTCAATAAAAAACCAATGCAGTAAATAACCACTAAACAGAAACATAATTCAGATAAAATACATTTGCCTAAACATATACTACACAATCTATAGTACAATTACCACTATCAGCTCACTGGCAGGTACAAGGCCTCTCTTTGGTATTACAGTACAGTATATGGGGGGTCTACTGTACCACACATATTTGGAAATTTATCTAAAGGTGGGATGATATAACAAAGCATATTCGAGAAATGCTGACAAATTTGAATAAGAATTAAAACAGATAAAAGTGGGTAGACAAAAACAATCTTTACAGGTTATAGTATAACCGCAGGCAACTTGCATTGTTTTGGATTACAATGACTGTACAGCATAGCAAATTATATACTGTAATGTAATACTGTATGTACAAAATGCTAAATATATGTATGGTAATACAGTATATTACTGCATATTCTAAAATAGATAAACATGTCACACACACATTTTACCATGATCAAACATAATAATATACAAAAGTTATTTAGGACACATGAACTCATCTGTGGGTCTAATTTCTGGAGTGAAAGGTGCAATGTAATGGCCATCATATACTGTACTTTATTTACCTAATGGTCACCCACTAGAGGTGGCCAAGCCGAGGGAAGGTGGTCAGTGGCCTGTGTAGGATCCCACCATAGTTCTTGATAATTTTGTCAATGGATATTTTGAAACCCAGTACAGTATACTGTTTTAGTAGACAGTTGTCCTTGTGTTTATGGTGACCAAAATAGTTCATGTTTTCTATCCCTTTAAAGATCTAAAGGGTTGCTAGTCCTAGGGCACTTCAAAGTGAAATGTCATTTAGGGTTTAAAAGAAAAACTTTCAGTGATAAAAGATTAAAAACATTCATACTGAGATATGTAGAGGTATGTTATTGTACCATAAAAAATGAGCATCATATACTGTACTTGGGATACATGCAACAGATTCTGCTGCATATCTGTAACTATTCTTGTCTTGTACGGTAATAACTTGTAATGCTTTACCTCATGTAGCCAGGTAAACTACTACTGTATACCTCATTGTCACTCCTCAGTACATTTCTTGTTTGCAAAGTTAGACAAGTTCCTCTCCTGTCCTTCCTGGGCTAATTCAGTACAGTACAGTACAGCTCCTCCCCGACTTACGACAGAGTTAGGGACCCAAATCCAGGTCGTAAGTCGAAATGGCCGTAAGTCGGAAATGCTTAAATAATACATAGAAAATCTAAAATGGGTGTTTCTTTTTCTTCTCAGCACCACAAAACTCTCGCTTTTAAGCTTGCCAGCCATTTTGATAAAATTTTGGTAAGACTGAGGCAGGTCGTAAGTGCAGGGGTAGGTCGTAAGTCGGGGAGGAGCTGTATACTGTAATCTTAGTGTATACATAATAATAATAATGATAATTTTTTTTACCAAGTCCCAGGTTGCTGATCTGACTTTCTGCCTCATTTGAACACAATAGTAGGGTCTCAATAGTACATCGTTTCTCACACTATAGGACACGAGTCCCTCAGGCTTGACCAATATATTTTTCCAGCGTATTCTGGTGTGTTTTAAACAAATCTGACCTTCATTTTTTTACGGAAATTGCTTGTTTTTGCCCCCCCCCCCCTCCCAACAGTAATGGGGGAGAGTCTGGGAAATCAGGGATTTTGGGAGGGGGAGAAAACGAAAACGAGTAAGCTAACCTAACCTAACCCCAAGCCAGGGGGTCTGCCCCTGGACCCCCAACAGGCCAGCTTAAACTAACCTAAATGTTTTAGTAGTTTAAGACTTTGGAGCGCATCATGTCCGAAAGTACAATACAGTACCTTAGTTAGAAGTGTAAGGACCAGGGATACGTAAAAATTGGATAGAATGATTGCCTTTCTCGTAAAACTCAGTAATAAACTTAAAACACTCATAGGAGTACAAATGACAACCAACCTCCACCACGGCCATTGTGAGACTGGTCAATGAAATTAAAATCGTAACCAGGCTGCTTCCTTTGAAAAAAAAATATCAAATGTAATTGGTCGAAAAAATATATAAATTCACGCGAGGAAATCAATACATCATTGGTCACGACTGGATGACGTCAGTCAATATTGTGCATGCATGATGTGCCGATAACATCTCCTCACAGACGAAGACTGAAAACTACACAAGATAAATTAAATTAAATTGTGTCGCTATTATTCATTTCCACCTGGTATATATGGGGTTCAAAATGCTCTAAATAAGGAGATCTAAATGTTTCAGTAGTTTATTACTTTCGAGCACGCTATAACCTAAAGTAAATTAATACCCCGAATAATAACCCTTTTGGGTTTTTCACAAGATAAGAAAGCAATTTTCTTCCATAGAAGTATTTGCTAAGAGTTGCTGGTTTAGGTTACTGTATTCCAGCACAGTATTACCACAATTAGTGTTGAAAGATTTGCACTGCTTCAGTTAACAATGAACATTTTAACCTAACCTAATCAGCAACTCACCGGTTCATTCCTAAAGTTGGAGAAGCTTTTGTTGACAGCTTTGGTCAACTACACCTAACCATAGGCCACTTGTCAGTTCCCAAGTACAGTATAGTAAATTCAGAGTACTGTAGTGTTCAAGTTTTTCTAAAGTTCTGACATCCATCGGTATCAACATTTAATGGCCATAAAAATTTCGGTAAAGATGCAATTCCACTACCAATTGAGTTTTGACCGGATAATGTATCTAGGTTTTTTCCATGTTATTTGGTGTGATTTATTCGAATGTTACCTTAATTTCCGTCGGAAATAAGTAATTTTTTAGTTATCAACCTCCCTCCAACAATCTTGGGAGTGAAATTGCAATAATACATTTTACAAAACTAAATGTACCCTGGCTGTCTGTACCTACAATGTATTTGTTATATACATGAACTGTTGTTTCAGAATCACTCAAATGAATGACAATACAGTACAGTACTATAAAGAGAGATAGATAAACACTCTCAGAATGGTGCCGTCTCTGACCCCATCATGACAATAATGAAGTTGTTATGGACCACAAAACTACCAACTTCTACGTCAACACAGTCTTACCTTGGTTCCTAAATTATCAGGTGGAGTGAACTTTGCCTTTTCTTGTGCAATTGTGGACGCCATTGTCGATAATGAAAAGGATTGGTGTTGGAGGCAGGGTGGGTGTGACAGGAGCGTGGTACTCGGGTGGTAACAAAGTTGTCGCGAGGCCTGCAGTTCAAAGCCAAGGTCGCTCGGGGTGGTGGGGGGTGTGTGGTGGGTGAGGAGACAGGGGGGTGGTATAAGACGTGCTAGTCTAGCTCCGCGCACCACTACCCGGCTACCAGAATAACAATAAGACATTTTTTAAACCAAAGGCTACAAGGGGATAAGGCCGATGAAGTAGTCGAAATGCTGGGAACTTCTCACAAGTTAATACTCTCAGTCCTCATGAAAAATATGCAATACAGAAATATATTCAGCCACCGACGACAATTAGTAATTGCTGCCAAAGATCTCTTGATGTTGTAAAGTAATACTGAACAAACAAGTCTGGAGATTCAATTTTTAACTCTTGAGCACAAAGCTTCCACAGTGTAACATCTGGTGTTTACACCACAGAAGGTTTCCCGTACACTCAGCCTCTCACGGGCTCCTAAGATAAACTGACGCGTTCACTGAAACTAGTAACTGATTAAAAGGTTCAGCCGTGTAGTGTACCCTGCATCCGCTACTAGGTGCAGTACTGTACCTGCATTTCTATCTCACTGTTACTTTCTGGCGTCGTGAAATAGACTCAAATAAGAGAATAGGATAAATAAATAGAAATACGTCAAGAATGATACTGTCGACATAGCACCTTGGATCGTTTGCCAAATGTATTTGGTAGTCTATAATCGAGTCACGCTGTATATGCAAGTCTGGAGACGTGCCAGACCCAGGTAGGGGTGAGAGTACACAATTTGAAAGCATATTTTTCCCCTTCCATTACACTATTTACCCAGAGATTAGAACGCCTGCAGTTGCCTAGTGTATTACTAACCTTGCTACGCGTTTGAAGACATTCGTTGTTGAAGCGCAGTAATAATACTAAGTCGAGTGTCATACCTGGAACTGGCGGATATCCGCTCTACTATTTTTACGGGGATTAGCCCATCCGGGCACAGGTCACCGACCCACATTGGGGCCTGAACTCAAAAACAAATAATACACACAGAAATAAAAAACAACAACAACAACAACACACACCAAGAGTGAGAAACGATATATTGTATAATTATGTTGTGTTGTCAGAGGAGGAGATACAACTGACTTCCTGCAATTGTATGTCTGTTATAATAACCACCAATTTGACTCCTCGCCAATCTTGTATGGAGTCCCCCAAGGTTCAATTCTCGGTCCAGTACTGTTTTTGTTGTACATAAACGACATAGTCCACGCCAGCTCACTCATAAAATACAACTTATTTGCAGACGATGGTAATCTCTATGCCAGCAACTCAGACCTCCATTCCTTGATGAGAACTATGAACACTGAATTAACTAAAGTCGGGACCTGGGTAATACGTAATAAACTGACTTTAAACCTCGAGAAAACCCACTACACGATCTTTCACAGAAGAAAAAACTTACCTCCAGACTTGGAACCCCTGTACCTTGGTAATATAGTCCTCAAACGCGAACAAAATACTAAATTCCTCGGAGTTATTGTTGATGAGAAACTTAACTGGAGAAACCACATACAAGCCATTCACAGTAAAATCAATAAACAGTGCGATATCATGTATCACACTCGACAGTCACTCACTCTCACAGCAATGAAAGAAATATATCATGATATTGTTTACCAGCACCTGATACACTGTCACACACTATGGGGGGCCTCTGGCTCTTCAAAAACACAATCTCTGGTTACTGCACAAAAGAGAATTGTACGGACAATGACCTACTTGAAAAAAAAACAGATCACACAAACGAAAAATTTGCTAAATTGAAATTTTAAAAATTCGAGGATATTAACACTTACTGCTGTGCCCTCTTTGTTTACAAATCTATCAATCACTTGCTTGACAATAATTACTTCCAGTTCCGGAATAATCAGAGATACAACTTAAGGCACCCAGAGCTACGAAGACCCCCCCCCCCCATGCACTCCTCTCAGTCCCAAACCTCCATAAAATATCATGGTGTGAAGGTGTGGAACAACTTACCCTCACACATCCGAGCAAAGACTACGCTCCCTTCCTTTAAATCAGTGGTTATCAACCTTGTTTGCCCCATGCACCGTTTCACCATATGTCAGAATGTCATTCCCCCCTCCTTTCCAAGATTGTCTGCCTCAAAAAATGCATTCCAAATAATATGCATATAATACTGAAAATCCTTTATTTTTTCCATATTAGTATCAGTTTCCCCCCCCCCCTCCCCTGAAAACCTGAGGGGGGAAATTCCCCCCTGGTTGAGAACCCCTGCTTTAAATCATCTCTAAAAAAATATCTATTGTCGAAGTATTAATACTTCTTGTAACACTTACTGTATTTACAGTACCTGCTTTTATTGTACCATCAAAACCGTTTTATCGGAAATTATCATGTAAATAAATAATTAATTACCATTGCAATAAACATAATTGCCAACTAGACATAATCCTAAAAGCTCTGTCCTCTCGTTCAACCATATTACTGTACAACCCATGTTGTAGTGCACCCACCATTATACTTAGGTTTTTAAATTCCACTCTAATATATATATATATATATATATATATATATATATATATATATATATATATATATATATATATATATATATATATATATATATATATATATATATATATATATATATATGATAACCACAAGGAAAAGAAAACACGAAGTTAGCGCTTTCGTGTAATTATCTTGGTGAGTTAAAGAAGTAGAACAAGTTATATATATACAGAGGAGGGTGAGATCAAGTCCACAGAGGTCAAGTATAGGTAATGACCCTACTAATCTTCACCCTTCTCTGTATATATATAACTTGTTCTGCACTTCTACTTAGTCTGTACTCACCCCTGAAGATGTGAATTACACGAAAGCGCTTGGGAACTTCGTGTTTTCTTTTTCCTTGTGGTTATCAGCATATACCTGGATCACGCGCACGTCTGTTACGCACTGTTGGCAAGTACTGGGCATGCACCGGCTCCTGAATATATCTGAACCTGCTCCAGTGTTGGTCAAGTCTGGTCTTGAAAGAGCTCACACTCGATGCCATCACAACACTCTTTGGCAGATTGTTCCAAGAGTTCACAATTCTCACTCAAAGAAAGTTTGCCCTCACAATTTTTGTGATGCCATATGGCAGTAGGGTCTACCATTATACAACACATTGCGCTTCCAATATGTTCCCAGGCGGTAGTACCTCCCTGTTTGGTAGCTGCCTACTACCTACTAGGGTTACAGTTTAAGGTCGAAGAAGCCGCAAGTTCAGAAAATTGTCTGGCGAAACTTTTTATTGGAACAATCTGTCGGAGAGCGCTGTGGCGGCACCGAGTGAGAACACATTCAAGACCAGAATTGACCAACACTGGAGCAGGTACAGTGTACAGGTACTGTAGTACTGTGCATTTTGGGCCACTTCATGCCCAGTACTTGTCAACAGTGTGTGTGTGTGTGTGTGTGTGTGCGTCCCTCGGGCAGGCAAGCTTCATATCTTTCTTGTGTCGTCATGAACGTCACCGCTACATCCTCAGTAGTGTGCAGTAAAGTGTTAGTATTGAATCTTTTAACGATAATTGGTAGCCATACGTCAACAAGAGGAGGTTATACTCGGCCGACCCCAAAGTTTGAATAAGGTCAAAGGGACGGCAAGGGGTCCAAATATTCAAGGGCCAAAGGGGTGATAATTGACAACGGCCCTATATATTAAATAATTTTTTTTAATCTAGCATGTAGTTGCAGTATATTATCAGTGGCGAAAAGGATAAAGTAAGCTCTTCCTCACCGTATAAGCTTATCAAAAACAAGTGCACTGCACGATGGGACTAACCGGTATTATAAAAGTTTACCCTCAAACAGTAAATTGTTATGGGAAACGTTTTCTTTGAGCCATGGCATAAACATATAAAATACTGGAGTAACTTTAATATCTGTTCAAACAACTACATAAGCACTGTACAGTAGATTATACCCGTCCATACTTTAGTAGAAGCCAATTTCAATGTAGAGAAACTTACTTTCCTATTGCACCGTAATTACTGTAGTTATGAATTTTTATTACAGAAGAAAAATATTTTGTTACCTTCCGATTAATGGGAAACAGGCATCAAAAACCAAAAACTCAACATTTCATAATGCGTTAAATCTAAAATAAAATAATGACCCGTCTTTGAGTGTCATCCATATTTTGCTCCAACAATATAAATTTTTGTATAAATAAACTACGGCCAAGGGGCGGCAAATTCGACAAGACACGCATTCAAGTAAAACGTAAGGGGAGCATAAAATAATAAATAAACACTCTCCCTACCCAGGCGAAGAGTGTGCCAAGGACTATACCAGTAGTTTATCCCTGGAGAGTCCGGCAGATAACTAGTACTTAGCAAATGTAAACATCACATCGCGTACTTTTCCTCATCTTTTAAGCTAAGTTTTATGTCCCGTTTGGTTAAAGATAAAACTCCACCCACAGTAATGAGGCTTATTGTCATTTACCAGTTATCAAATACAGCAGTGAGTTAAGTTATTATTATTATTTTAACATGAGTAGGTTAGTAAAGGGTGCTTGATAGGTAAGGTACCAAAAAAACAAAAAATAATGTGTGTTATTGAAAAGACCCCAGTTATCAAATACAGCAGTGAGTTAAGTTATTATTATTATTTTAACATGAGTAGGTTAGTAAAGGGTGCTTGATAGGTAAGGTACCAAAAAAACAAAAAATAACCAACTAACATACTTCATCTTATCTAGCTGTGATATGCACGACTCCCGCCATCATCATTAACTTTCACCATTACACTATAAGGAGTGGGAACTGTCCATTATAAGGCTCACATGAGATACCTATGATAATCTCGGTAATGGACGGTCTGTGTACGTGACTCTGGCCGTCTTGATGGTAGTGGAAGATGAGGGTTTTCTACGATCGGGATGTCGTGAAAGTAGTTGATCGTTTCTAAGTGGTGGTTGTAGTACTGGTAGATGAGCTGTACGTGATCGTAGTAGTATTGGTGAAAGGACTGCACGTGGGGATAAAACTATGCACAGAGATAAGTAAAAAGTGGACACGGTTTGGAGAATGACAGCCAGATATCTGTAGTACATGGCCTGGGGAAAAACAGTTACTCCCTGGTTTGGTCCTTCGTCAGGTCTCAGCCCTTCATTAAGTCACAGGGTCATAACTGTATCCCCAGGACCATGAGAGGGGCAGGTGAGTGTGACCCAGGACCATGATTGAAGCTCCAAGACAATGAGAGGGGCAGGTGAGTGTGACCCAGGACCATGACTGAAGCTCCAGGACCATGAGAGGGGCAGGTGAGGGTGACCCAGGACCATGATTGAAGCTCCAGGACCATGAGAGGGGCAGGTGAGTGTGACCCAGGACCATGATTGAAGCTCCAGGACAATGAGAGGGGCAGGTGAGTGTGACCCAGGACCATGATTGAAGCTCCAGGACCATGAGGAGGGGCAGGTGGTGACCCAGGACCATGACTGAGCTCCAGGACAATGAGAGGGGCAGGTGAGGGGTGACCCAGGACCATGACTGAGCTCAGGACCATGAGAGGGAGCAGGTGAGTGTGACCCAGGACCATGAGCTGAAGCTCCAGGACCATGAGAGGGAGCAGGTGGGGGCCACAGGACCATGACCCCTGAAACTCCAGGACCATGAGGAGGGGGCAGGTGAGGTGACCCAGGACCATGATTGAAGCTCAGGACCATGAGAGGGGCAGGTGAGGGTGACCCAGGACCATGACTGAAGCTCAGGACAATGAGAGGGCAGGTGGAGTGTGACCCAGGACCATGACTGAAGCTCAGGACCATGAGAGGGCAGGTGTGAGTGTGGCCCAGGACCCATGATTGAGCTCCAGGACAATGAGGAGGGGCAGGTGAGGTGTGACCCAGGACCATGACCTGAGCTCCAGGACCATGAGAGGAGGGAGCAGGTGAGGGTGGCCAGGACCATGATTAGCTCCAGGACCATGAGAGGCAGGTGAGGGAGTGACCCAGGACCATGATTGAAGCTCCAGGACCATGAGAGGGGCAGGTGAGTGTGACCCAGGACCATGATTGAAGCTCCAGGACCATGAGAGGGGCAGGTGAGTGTGACCCAGGACCATGATTGAAGCTCCAGGACCACGGCAGGGTGCGGCGCCCAGGTAAACACAGACAGGGCGGCACGACACACCCAGCTGACTCACGTCTTGACCTGACTGACCCTGGGACACCCCCTGCCGCCCACACCTACCGCCCATACCTGTCGCCCTCACCTACCGCCTATACCTGTCGCCCACACCTACCGCCCATAACTGTCGCCCATATCTACCGCCCACACCCAGGCACTATTTGCGAAATGTTCAGGATCCTGGCAATAATTACTCTCATTTTTTCCCCCGTGGCATTTTCTAGTTGTGTACCCGTGCCCTGTATGATTGTACCCACAAGTAGAATTATTGGAGGAGTGTCACCCCCCTCCCCCCCATACCCCCTTCGTGACACTTAACACACATCATTTCCTGGTCGTCTGCCGCTACACGTCGTGAGACACAGGTTTTTGTCCAGTTCACTTGATGACTTTATATCGCTCTAATAACCCCGAGAGCGAACGACAGGATATACTGTAATTTGGCAGCGTGTGCGTGTCTGTCTCTCTTCTCATTCTAATTATTTTCAGTTAGGGTGGTGATAATTCGCCATTAAGGAGTGTGTATATATTGCCTGAGTTATACGGTGAGTCCCTCTATGATTGTGAGGTCAGAGGGTAACGTCACTGAGGTCTTATGCGTACCGTTCTTGCCTCTCAAGTGAGATGTCACGGGTTCGATTCCCGGGCAGGTGGAAGTTGTTTGGACTTACTTCCTGGCCCCCATTAGTCCCTGTTCACCTAGCAGTAAAGCAGGTACATGTTGTAAGTTGAAAGTTGAGAATTCGTATTCAGGGAGTTGTTGGAGCTTCCAATAACTTGATGACATAAACCATTGACTCTTCAGGCTTCTACGTCCTTGACTCTTCAGGCTTCTACGCCCTTAACTCGTGAGACATAAAGGCAAGCATGAACTTAGCATGCTTCCCTGTTGGACGCTGTAAACGCTTCTGCGCTTCACCTTACACAAGGATGTAGGGGGGTGCCCAATAAATGAAAAAAAAAATGCCATGTTGCCGGGACGCCGCTGCCTGCCGCACGAAGCCACACACCAGGGAACAGAAGGTGTCCCGTACTAGGTGTAGGTTTATATAATGCTTTCTAGTTGTGTTCTGTAGCCATGAGGTCACATTAGACTCGAGATGATGAGCCTCTGTCACATACGTTTTACCTGATGGCAGAGTTCAGCTTAGTCATAGACCTTGAGTTTAGTCTATTGTGGTTAATACGGGCGGCATATACACGGCACACGGCCCAGCGCCCAGTAAACTGAGATCTGAGGACCAGGAAGTTAGCTGTTAAGTTTTCCTCTGTTTAAAGATACTCATCACGGTAACCAGCGTCTGTCAGGTCATAGACAGACGCTTATATAACAGAACAATGGAAATAAAAGAGGTTTATAACGCCCGAGGAAGAATCTCTTGTTTCTGTACAGCTATAAAGAATTGATATAATTAACCTAACATAGATTTATATTTAATGGGTGGGAGGGAATTATATTTTTTCCACAGGAGGTAAAAAAACAAAATGACTTCCATCACGACATCAAGAGTTCCAACACCCACTGCCGACTGCCCTGAGTGACACTGTATGTACTTCGTCTGTAAGGATGCCCACGTCTCGCTAGTGTTAAATATCACTTATGAATACCTGAAGAAGGGAGTGGTGGGTGAGGGGGGGAGTGGTGGATGAGGGGGTGGTGGTGGATGAGGGGGCAGGGAGGGGGATGAGGGGTGGGTGGGGAGGGTGGGATGAGGGGTGGTGGTGGGTGGGGAGGGGGGAGGGTGGGTGAGGGGGAGGGGGTGAGGGGGGAGGGGTGAGGGGGAGGGTGGAATGAGGGGTGGGGAGTGGTGGATGAGGGGGTGGTGGGGAGGTAGGGGTGAGGGGGGAATGGTGGATGAGGGGTGTAGGGAATGGGTGTGATGGAGGGGTGGTGGGAGGGAGATGAGGGGGGGAGGGTGGGGTGAGGGGGAGGGTGGGGTGGAGGGGGAGGGTGTGAGGGGTGGTGGTGGGTACAGGGCGAGAGGTGGATGAGGGGGCGAGAGGTGGATGAGGGGGGCGCAGAGGTGATGAGGGGAAGAGGGTACATTCCCATTAACCTGCTAGGACAACAGTGTCCAGGGACCCCCCCCCCCACACACACCTACTTCACCAGGGTATTATTAGCTGTGAGGTCAACAGCCCCAGTCCTTATAGGCCCAAAACCTAACTCCCAACCTAACCTTATACATAATTCTTAAACTCACCCTTCCTCCATTCTATCTCCTTCCTCCTCCTTCCTCCTCCTCCCCCCTTCTTCCCTTCCCCCTCCCTCCTTCTCCCTTCCATTAAATCAACTCTCCCTTTCGCTGACCCAAGTGATATTATGTGTGTGTGTGTGTGTGTGTGTGTGTGTGTGTGTGTGTTAACCTGTTATCTGCTTTATTTTATATATGAATCATTGGGGCCAGTTAGGTCTGGGGCCCACTAAGACTGGGCCCTTTAGAATTGGAACTCATACTTGGGCCCTTAATGGTTTCAGTCAGGTCTTTGCCAGTCACGTGTGTAGCCAGCCAGTCACCAGGTAAACCCCACGAGTACCAACCCGCCTACCTACCTGGCCAGCCTGCCCCTCTGACAGCTGCTTCCCACCTTTCACCCATACCCTCCACCACCACCACACTACAGCCTCTCTCTCTCTCTCTCTCTCTCTCTCTCTCTCTCTCTCTCTCTCCTACACCTGAGGCCCGACAAGTGAGAGGACCAACTGGCCTCAGAGACCCTTCAAGGTCACCGTGTCCCTCCACACTCCCTTACATTCCTCCCTTCCTCACCTCTAATCCCCCTCCTTCCTCACCCCTCACAGTCCTCCCTTCCTCACCTCTAATCCCCTCTCCTCCCTCACCCCTCACAGTCCTCACCTCTAATCCCTCTCCTCCCTCCTCCCTCACCCTCATTTACCTCCCTCCCTCACTCCCTTCCTTACTCCTACCCGACTCCTGCCTTTCTCCACCCATCCGGCTAACTGTGTCAGGGGAGTGAGGGAAGGAGGGAAGGAGGGAGGGAAGGAGGGAGGAAAGGAGGAGGGAGGGAGGAGGGAGGAGGGAGGGAGGGAGGGGAGGAGGAGGGAGGGAGGAGGAGGGAGGGAGGGGGGAGGAGAAAGGATGGAGGAGTGATAAAATAATACAGTTGTCACACACACACACACACACACACACACACACACACACACACACACACACACACACACACACACACACACACACACACACACACACACCTACATATACACAAGCTTGTATAATTCTAAGTAAATAAATACTACCATACACATTATCTCTCGACAAGGACATACCGATAATATAATGACTCATAACACTAACCGATATTATGACCAACAAGAACAGCCGATAACACTGACCTCCAGTATCGGTGTACCTGAAGCGACCAGGTAATTGTGAGGGTCTTACTGTAAGTGTGTGCAATGATGAAGAAATTCTCAAGTGTCTCCATGGTGAGTGTTTAAGTCATGACCTCACGGGGGGGGTAGGAGGGGTGATTCTGAGGTTCTGGTAACACTGCTTTACTCTTTTGGGGGGAGGGAGGGAGGAGGGAAGAATCAGTGCCGGATGTGGTAGTGTTGTGGTGGTTGTGTGGATACTGTCTCTCTCTGTAACTCTCGGCTGTACACGGGTTCGACAATGCGTTTAATTACACGAGTAACACAGGTATATACATAAATTAATAAACAGAACGAAAAAACTAATATTTCGTAATTTATCATAATTTCATAAAGATAATATTAATCAAAGGATATTTATATAGTTTTAGGTGTTTGTTTGTCATGCAGAAAGACGACTCTAGATTATAAAATTCTTCGTTTTCCTGCCAACACTATCATCAAACCTAACCTAACCTTAATAAACGACTTTACTATAACAATCTCACTATCAGGAGCTTAAATACATGTCAAGACACCAAGGAAAAAGTAGATTGTTTCATAATATTTTGTACCGGGAATCAGATTACATTAGGTGATGACTTCCGACCTTGCGGGACTCCCAGAAGCTAGGTGTTGGATGAACTTTTCTAACCTTGGTGTTTGAGTTATACCCTCTCTCTCTCTCTTTCTCACACACACCCACACCTCTCTCTCCTTGATGGCCGGATATTAGTAAACTATCCCTCACCTGTGTCCGGATGTTGATGGTAAGTGAAGGTGTTTGTGGCTAGAGAGTATATGTGAGTGAGTAACCGGCTGTATGTCACTCTCCTGGCCTCCCCGCCCCCCCGTCCCTCCTGGTCAAGTTTTTCGTCTCTCACTGAGGTCGTTCACGCTCAAGCGGATACGGCAGAAGGTAATGGCAAGGTATTGAGTGTGTAATGAGTTATGGTAATGCTGTTATTATTATTTTCATTACGATCATTAGTGTTATTATTATTGTTATTTATTAGTTATTGTTGTTATTATTATCATCATCAATTCTATTTATCATAACTGAGAATAAGGTAACGCATCAAGCCAGGAGGAGTTTTAGCTCAAAACTGACGTCATTTTCTCCACTAGTATGACACCATATGAGTGAGGCGACCTGGTCCTTCCTCACACTGACTTAGGTTAGAGTTAAGTTGGGGTGATGGTGTATGAGGGTTGGTGGGAGGAAATAGTTAACGTGATCAGGAAATACCAATTGGGTGGTTAGTGTGGTAAGGTGAGAGAGAGGGGGTGAGGAGGAGAGAGAAGGGGTAGAGTGAGAAGAGGTGGGGGAGGGAAGAGGGGTAGGGGAAGAGATGAGGGAGGGAAGAGGGTAGAGAGAGAGAGAGAGAGTCCAGTCCTCTTTGCCTTGTATGGTTGGTGTGTGTGTGTGTGTGTGTGTGTGTGTGTGTGTGTGTGTGTGTGTGTGTGTGTGTGTGTGTGTGTGTGTGTGTGTGTGTGTGTGTGTGTGTGTGTGCGTGACCATAGCTGTCCTTGGCATCCTCTCCTCGCCCGCAGGCAAGGATGGGAGACGATAGCTAGGTAGGGAAGGGGGCGATGGG